CAGGTGCAGGGCCACGTGGAGGTCAGAGGTCAACCTCCAGAGTTCTCATGATTTGTTTTCCACCTTATTTATTGAAGCCAGGTTTTTTGGCTTGAACTCAGAGCTGGCTGACCTGACCAGTCTAGCTAAATAGCTTGCTCCAGGGCCTCTCCTGTCTCTGCCTCCCGTGTGCTGGGATTATGGACAGCCTGCCAAAATTGCCTGACATTTACATGGGTGCTGTGGATCCAGCCCCCACCCTTGTCCGGTAGAGCACCCTGAGCCATCTCCCTAGCCCTATTTTTATGTGTTTGAGCGAGCATTTCTTACCTCTGGATTCCATGCTGCGCTCTATGGTGGAGCACCTGCCTCTAGTGCCACTAGCTGATCCTCTCAGCTAGTGATCAGCATACAGACACAGGGGACACCATTTAGAAACCCACAACATTCCCAAAGGACAGTGAAGAGCTTGCCTTGTAGGAGAAGGAGCCCTCGCTGCTCAGGCTCACAGAGCTGCTGGTGGGCGGGAGAGGCTGCAGCTGCAGGCCTGCGCTGTGGGCCCCATCCATGGCTGTCTAGAGGCACATCCCACCTGGCCCGGCTGGGAGCTGGGGTTTCCGCTAGGCAGGGTGCAGACTGGGAGCCATCTCTCCTGGTGTTTCCCTCCTTCCGGCAGCCTCCTAGGTCTCTTCCTCAGCAAAATGCGTTCTTCTCTGGGTCTCTGGGTTGATTTACAGCCCTCCCCTCAGGCTCCCCTGAGGCAACTCACTCACGGTCTCTCCCAAGCAGAAGGGTGAAGGCGTGTCTTCTGACTCTGGCCAAGCTCTGCTGGTGGAGAAGGACATGAAAAACTCATGTACACGAAACATAGCACCCACCTTCATTGCTTGAGAAAGCGCTTCAGGCAAAGCACATCTGGCCACGCAAAAGGGAACCACGAAGGCCTGATGGTCGGGCCTCTGACCCCCGAATAAAGAGACTGTCTTTTAAAAACTTTATTACTGACCTTAGACATCCCATTTCCTTTCCTTCTCGCCTTCCCCCCATCCTGTCAATCCTAATTTAAACCTTCCTTTCCTTTATAAACTCGAGGACAAAAGACTGACCACATCCACTTCTCCAGGTCTCCGAAATCAACAGATAGATCCCATGAGCATCCAATAGGAACCGTCATCAGGTGTGGCGGCACATGCTCGCAATCCCAGCACTCAGGGGAGGCCGAGGCTAGGCAGGACCACAGGACAGCCTGGGCTATATAACGAGAGCTTGTCTTAGAGTAATCCAATTCCGCAGTAACAACACTAAAAACCCAACCCAACCAGCAAATCATGGGTTTTCAATTTAGGAAGGAATGAATGTAAAGACAATCCTGGCATGGAGGAAGGGCACTCTTCTGGGAGGTGGGACCAGACGCCCATGTCAGTTTGGCTCTGGGTGACTCAGCGCCTTATCTGTAAAGTGTGGACTGTCATGTGGCTTCAAGTAGGAGCAGGGATGACAAGCACCCTGTTGGTGTCATTGAACTGCTGTTTTCAGTGTTTCTCAAACTTCTCCCACAGAAGGGAAAACCTGTGCCAAGAGCTCATGGTCAAAACCCTACCACCATAGCAAAAGGCTCTGTAAGATCTTCTTACACTTAGGAAAAAAAAAAACCAAACGAACATACAAAGCAAAATAACCATATGGATTTAGATTCCATTGTATAATCCTTTTATCATATTTTATGTTAAAATCATTTAATTTACTATTGTCCTGATGTGTAAGTACGAGCGCTATCATGTGCCAATGGAGGCTGTGGGAGTTGGTTCTCCCCTTCTACAGTGGGTTCCAAGGATCAAACTCAGGCTGCCAGGCTTGCTGGACGAGCACTCTCAGCTGCCGGGCCATCTCTCTGGCCCCTTCAGATATTGTGAATTGCTCTCGATCTGCCCTGTGCTCCCTTGTGTACCTGTACCTGGCCATCAGCTTGTGAGTCAGTTTCCGTAGCCGTAAAATATGGCTCATCGTGTTTCCATGCCACTGGCTGCAGTGAGAATTCGACAGAACAAGGCACGTGAAGGTGAACACGGTAGATGGCTGCCACGTGCCAAACACCACTAGTGTCACTTTATTTAGTTCTGATTTTCTAACATTCTTTATTGTGTGGACGTGCATGCACACACGCGTGTGTGACATAGCACATATTTAGAAGTCACAAGATAACTTTGCGGAGTCAGTTCTTCCACCCTACACGTTAGTCGTGGGGACTGAACTCAGCTCATCAAGGTTAGGAGCAAGTGCCCTGCACCACTAAGCCGTGTTAGGCCCACTCTCCAATTTAATCCTGTAGTTCATCCATCCATCCACACGCTTCCATCACCCAAGCGTGCACCCAAGAAAGAGTTAAAGGCTCAGCATGTGCTAAACAGTCTCTGCCAAGACCAGGCTTCAAAACACTGTGTATCCCTCAGTTTTGGCTTCCTTCTGCCCCATGTTCCATGCCTAGGAATGTCAATGACATGCACTGATGTCACAAGACGAACGTCATGCCCAGCGCCTAGGAGATGCCAAATGCAGGTTTAGGACAGAGCAGTCACGAAGACCTGCACCTTGTCAAAGGGCCTAAAGTTAAATCACAGCTGCTATTTTCCCACTGAGACAGAATTCCTGCCTAAGACACCCTCATCGGGTAACTTGCTGACCCACGTTTCTTACCTGTAAGACCCGATGAATATAGGATTGCCCAATGGCTGGGAAGGCATAATTACTCTTCATTAGATTGCATGGGTGCGAAGGCAATGTTGTGTTAAATGTCTGCATCTCTGTCTTGGCATCGTTAATGAGGGTAGGCTAGGGCTCCTACCTGGGAGAGACCTAGAGCTGCATCCAGTCTGGGATAGAAGGGGCCCCCTGCTTCCTCTGGAAGACCTAGCTCAGAGCCTGGCAAGGTGACTGGCATATACACCCACTCCTGACTAAATGTAGAAACCCTGGTATATTGTGGCAAAAAAGAGAAAAAAAAGCCTTATTCAGGATGTATAACCACAAACAGATATACCCAGCCCCACCCACAGGATGTCAGAGAAAGCACACAGGACTTGGGGATCAGCTAGAAAGGACAGCAGGAATTCAGGCCTTCTAACCTTCTCCAGTCAAGTGCTCGCTCGCTCTCTCTCTCTCTCTCTCTCTCTCTCTCTCTCTCGTTTGTTGGCTTTTAACCAGCAGCTCCAGCTTCTCTCTCTACCTGGGGAACCCGCAGGGCTCTAAAAGCAGGAAGACAGAGCAGAGGGAGGCCCTCCCTGGGCTAGCACACAGTCACTCGGAAGCCTCCGTGGGCTCTTCAGGTTGCAATCCCTTCTAAGGCTCACACTTTGGCCTGGTGACGGGTTTAGTGTTGGTTTCAACGCACTTTTCCAGGACCAACATATGTCCAAGTGGCACACAATCAAGTCGGTGTTGACAGTCACAGTCACAACTCATGGTCACTGCCCCAAGAAGGGAGAGAGAATTCACAAAGTGCCTGCTTCCAATCCAGTCCCCTGGCCTCGAAGTACTCCATTAACCCCACCGAGTAAGTTTTCCAGAGAGAAAAATCAGCCTCACCGCCACGAAAAATAGATGATTTAGAAATCAGCTGTAACCGAAAACAAGGGTGTGTGTGTGTGTGTGTGTGTGTGTGTGTGTGTGTTGTGTGGAAGGAGGTCTTGCCACCACCTGGCGATTTAGTTTGACTAGAGACTATCATTTTCATGCCAAGCTTTCCCTTCCCGGGACTTGTGAGCACCGAAGGGTGGCATTCTCGGGTCCTTTCCCATTGAGCTGGACATTCCGGCGCACCGGAGACACACCTCTGTTCCAGTACCAAGTACAGGGCTCGTCTATCCATCTGCGAGTTCCGCCGGCTATTTCCAGGATGCTGGAGCTGGCAATACCTTCCACTTCCTCATCTGGTAACGCCCAGAATCACCTTCATTAAGGCAAGCCCGTGCCCACCCTCCTTGAAAATATGGAAGAAAAAAAAATCGGAGGCAACAGGACCCAAACCGACAAAGCTGGCCACAGCAAGGGAGATCGTATTTATACTAGGGAGAGGCTAGATAGCTAAAAAAACGCGTTGCTTTTCCTAAAACAGCAAGCCTGAATTCAAGTTCCCCCTGCTCTCAGTCTTGACAGGACTCACCCGCGGCGCTGCTTCTTGATTCACCTATCCCAGGCTCCTGAGAAGCAACCGGGACACTCTGTGCCACCCCGAGGTACAGCCTCCTGGATCCCTTCCCAGCTCCGAGTTGCCAGGGGGCTGCAGTCAGTGTTTTGCTTTCAAAGATCGAGACTTGATTTGTCACCCTGTCTGTCAGTCCCAAGCTGGTGGAGCTTCTGCGCAGGCGAGTGGCTGTCAGGAGGCGATGGGCGGGATATCCTGAGATAATTGGCTGCGCTGCCAAGCTCGCTTGAAGCGTAGGGGCCAGACCTGACACTCACCTGGAGGAGTCCCCTCTAGCGGCCAAAGGACGAAGTCCCGGGCTGCTTTGGTTCCCTGGGTATGGCAGCTCACCTCAACCTGCCCGACAGCTGGGCTGGGCTTGTGCAGGTCGCCTGGCGTTCCCGCAACCTGCGCTAACAACCACAAACCTGCGAGGTGCCCCTGCTGCTCCCACCAGGTAGTGAGGACCTCAGCATAGGCACCCAGCAGAGTCGTGACGTGTGTCGGGAACCATGCGTACCCCTTCTTCCCTGCGCCTGCGTCCCACCTGTTGGCTGTGGCATCCTCTGTCTCCCAGCACGCCTGCAGCTCAGCAGTTCCGGAGGGCTGTCAATCATCCTAGTCCCCTGCTGCTGTTTCCCGGGTGTTCAGCTGGGACCATGAACCTACGCGTGGAGCTTCTAGCGCGCACATTTTCCTGCACACGCCGTTCGATTCAGGGCCTCACAGCAACCTCTGGGGGAGATGTTGAGATCATGCAGGCTTTACAAGGAAATGACTTTGGGGCGACCTCGGCGACGCGAGGGGGCTCAGGTGAGGGGACAGTAGAGCAAGCAGGGAGGGAGCACTTAAGAGAGAATGAAGCTACCATATTGTATTATGGGAGAGGCTTAAAGACCAGCTGGGCTTGTGCGAGATTTTTTTTCTTGAGACGTGGGTGGCAGGAGCTGTGAGCAGAGAACGCCGGGGACAGTTTATAATAAAAGGCGTATCCCACAAATTTAAAGGCGCCACTGGTGGGTTCACGGCGGGCTGCGAAGGGGCACTGTGACTGCGGTGAATCGGGTACGGAGCTCTTGGGAAACCTGCACGCTTGTCCTTGCGGAGTTGTATGATCAACCTTTTCTCGCGCGCTCAGGGCGTGGATGGATACAAACATTCAGGTTTATGCCTTGGGTAGGCTTTTCTGAGTGAGCGAAATTCCTAGGCCTTTGGTTCTAAGGATTTCAAGAAGTCGCCAAAACAGCAACAAAAACCCCAGATTCAGAAACGAACTCCCTAATAGTTACCTGCCGAGGATCCTGGCGTAATCAACCTAAACCCTAAAATTCTGGTAGCTTCTCTGCTGATTTTGAAACGGCTCTCACGATTGGCCAACAGCTTTTCACGTTAGAGAAACAGAGGACACCATTGGTTAGAGTTAGCCGGCCGCCTGCCACCGGTCTCTGGAATGTTAGGCCAGTGGTTGCCATAGCGACTGGGCGGCAACCCCTTGACTAGGTGAGAACCAGCTCTTGTTGAGCGACCTGTCCTTGAGGTCGTGAGGAGGACTCTGCGCACTCCATGGGACACCCACTGAGACCTCCGGACTCCGGGTGTGTGCGGAATCTCTGTGCCCAAATTAGGTGGTGCCTCCAGGGCTAGAAGGTGCCATTTGGGGTGGGGGTGGGGGTGGGGTCAGTGTATGCCCCAGTGCACCTATCTGGAAAGTGCTGTTAACTATGGTTCGCCTTCCCCTCGGATCCTGTGAGTGGTGTGGACATCTGACTCTCCCTACTTCCGTCTTTGTGGGGTACTGGAGCTGGGCCGCGCACTGGCAAATCACCAAGAGCCCAGCTCTAACAGAGCCCCTCCGGTACATTGGGTCTTCCTCAGCAGGTCTCCCTTTTTCTGGGCCTCATTTTATCCAGAGTGAGACTGGAATCTTGAGGCCACTACCAGCTGCTGCTACGGTTTCATCCCCAGGCTTCAGAAAGACTCTTGGGTCTCTTGTGCCTCCCACTTCCTACGGGAAGAATGTTTTAATTAAGATTCTCGGCCAGGACCACCGTGAAGTGCCGGATGCTCACCTGGGCAGCATTCTGTTCCGGGTTAGGCTCTACCTGTTCTCCACGAACTGCCCCGGCATCTCACAGAAAACAGGATTGACAATGTTACCTTTTGGTGACAGGATAATGTATTTGACATTTCTATAATTTCTTAAACTTTACAAAATTTGATAATTTGCATGAGAAACATAATTTTTAAAAATATCTTGCAAATTTTTCTTTTTTTTAAAGACAGGTTCACCTATGTAGCACTGATTAGCCTGGAATGCACTATGGAGCACTGGCCTCAGACTCAGAGAGTTCCAGCCACCTCTGCCTCCTGAGTGCTGGCATTAAATGACTATAAACCACAACACTGGGCTTCCACGATTCTTTTTGTTGTCAGTTTTTAAACTCATTTTTTAAAATCTTATGTCTATGGATCTTTTGTCTGCATACACAGACGTCTGTGCACAGTGCACATGCCTGGTGCCAGAAGGGGGCGTCTGATCTCCTAGGACTGGAGTTATATATGGTTGTGAGCTCTCCATAAGAATGCTTAGAACTGAGCCCAGGTCCTCTGGGGGAAAACAACAACAACAAACCCAGCAGTGCCCTTTAACCCCTGGGCCATCTCTCCAACATTGCCATTTTGGTTTTTGAGATAGGGTCTTGACAGCCCAAGCTGGCCTAGAACTTAGTGTAGACTAGGCTAGCCTTGAACTTCTGATCCTCTTGTCTCTACTTCTTGAGTGCTTGGATTCCAATATGTACTTCTGCTGATTAACCCGGGGCTTTGTGCTTCTTAGGCAATGCTCTACCAAAGGAGCCACATTCCCAGCTTTCTCAAACTGCGATTTCATTAAAGGTAGGGCCGCTAATGGTTCTTCCTAAAACACAAGGTCACACTGCAGTGTTGCAAGCGAATACTAATGGCTTTCAGAGACTCTCAAAGACACTGTTCTGTGGTCAGTATTGATTATTGTTTTGAAATACCTTAGTGTTTTAAAGCCGTTGTTTCTCATGCTGTCATTAAATGTTAAAATCCTAGATGATTCAAAAAGGCTACAAATTGCAGCTGTGAAGATGCCTTCAGCAAGAAACCCACGGAGGAAGAGAGGCCTAGACAGACCTTTGCTTGCTCAATGCTCCCTTCGTTAGTGTTTAGAGATGGTGTGAGCTGCATAGGGGGAAAGGAAATGAATCCCGAGTCTGCTCATAAAAAATTAACAGCTTTGGCGATGAAACTGTGCTTGTGCCATTGACAACTAAAAACAAAAAGAACAAAGCAGCCCCAGCTGCATAGACTAGAAAACTCTTTGGTCTCTCAGGCAGCAGGTGGCACAATAATGCAGTCCCCGAGGGATGTTCCCTTTGCTCAGTGAGGGAGTCCTTTCCAGACTGCGCCACAGGCAGGAGGGGGTGGAAACAGACTTTGGCTTCCCGAGTTGAAGCACATTCATGATAGTTTGCATCTTGGATGGAGAGCTTGGTCCCTGGTCTTTGGTGGTACGGTGTGTGTGTGTGTGTGTGTGTGTGTGTGTGTGTGTGTGTGTGTGTGTGACCCTTTATTTGGTGGTATTGGGGGCTTGTGGAACCTTTAGAAGGTGGGACCTAGTGGGAGGAAGTTGTGTCACTGGGTGTGTGATCTTGAAGATGCTGGGATCTGGCCCTTCCCTATTTCTCTTTGCTTCCTGGATGCTGTGCAGTGAAGAGACCCCCTTCCACTACGCTGTGCTTCTGATGTCATGTACAGAGCTGACGTGGGCCCTGAGCAGCAGGACAGTGACTAGAGACTGAAACCCTTGTAGCTGTGAGCCAATACAAGTCTTTGGTATTTTGTTTCAGTGATTGAAGGCCACCAAGTGTAAGAACATAGAGGTCAGAGTTTAGGAAAGCCAAAGAACCCAGAATATGATGGAAAATACCAGAGGAGAGAGTTGTGTAGAAAAATGTTGGCAACCTGAAGAGATCTTTTTGAGTCTTGAAGAATGACCTGCCCAAGCTTAAGAAGAATCCAACAAGGAAGCAGGAGGCAGTACATCTCCTGGGGTCACATAACTGGTTATAGTTCGTGTTCCATAAGCCAGAATGGAGGACATTGTCAGATAAGGGATAGGTAGACTCCACAGAAGTGCCGTGCCTAGTGACTGGGGTGTGGCTCAGTTGGTAGAATACTTGCTAGCAGGCATGCATGAAGCCCTGAATTTGAGTCCCAGCACCACATACAGAGGGGCATGAATGGTGGTGCATGCCTACAGCCCATCAGTCAGGAGGGAGTGGCAGGAGAATCAGAAGTTCAGGGTCAACCTTAGCTGCAGAGTGAGGTTGCCAGCCCGAGCTACAAGAGACTCTGTTAAAAGAAAAAAAAAAAAGTGTCATGCCTTACTAGTGAAGATAAACTTCTTCCAGAAAGAAAGCTGTTCTGAACCTTTCAAAATTTGAAAGCTTGGAGGGGTCCAATGAATCTGAAAATTACTGAAAATGAGTCAGGGGACTGGAGAGATGGCTCAGCAGTTACGAACACTGACTGCTCTTCCAGAGGCCCTGAATTCAATTCACAGCTACCACTTGGGTGGCTCACAACCATCTGTAATGGGATCTGGTGCCCTCTTCTGGTATGCAGGTGTACATACAGAGCACTCATACACAAAATATAAATAAAACTTAAAAAATGAGCCAGGAAAAAATGTAAATTTGCAAAAATGGAACTTTCATACTCTCTGAACCCAGCACAAAGATCAAGGAAAATGTGACCCCAGTGCCCGCGATGGCAGACATGACAGAACCAGCAGAAACGGTCCTCAGGGCAGCCGTCACAATCCGGCAGATCTCCAGGAGCTGAAGGAGGCTGAACAGGGAGGTCTTTCTAAAAACAGAAAGAAAGAAAAAGATGCTGCCTGGGGGACAGGAGCAGGTTAGTTTTCTCCACTGATTAAGAATTAAACGGCAATAGAGAAATGTTACCCAGAATCTTGGGGAGTCCCTGCAGAGAGCCTCATATGACACTGGAGAAGTCGGCGTCCTTTCTTCGGGGTCTCCGTTTCATTAATAAAAGAATTTAAGAATGAACCCAAACAGAAGCGTGAGGACAAAGAACTGACTCAAACCGAAGCTCAGAACAATGTATTAGCGGTTGAAAGGAGAAGCCCAGGGCGGGTGAGCTAAGCCTCACAGTTGCCTGGAAGGGAAGAACAGGGTGGAGAAGAGATGCTGGAATGGAGGTCAGCGACATGGCAGGGACAGGATCTTTAGAAAATGATCAAGGAAGCTCAAGGCATTAGGGAGTTTAAAAGCATACTTGAGCTCTGGCCAGCATCTGAAAGGAACAGAGGAAATCGTTATACCTGGGCGGACAGAGCCAGCAGAATGCCATGGCAGCTGGCAACTACCTTAAGGTAAACCTCCCTTCCCTTGGGTGTCCCCCAGATAGCCCCCAGACCTGTCCCAGTTGATTAACCTTCAAGGGAGGAGACCTATGTCTACCAGGAGGTAGATTTCTCCTATACAGCTCCCACAGGTTGTCCACAAACTGTGAATCCCTGCGCTGGGGAAGTGAGAACGCAAGGGTCCTTGAGAATCCCAGGCCAACAAGGCAAATCAGTCAGCTCCAGGTTCAGCATGAGACTTTGTCTCAAAAGATAAAGTGAGCAATTGAGAAAGACGTTTGATGTGGACCTTTATATTCATGCCTACACATGAGCACACACAGGCCGTAAGGTAGCATCTAGAAATGAAAAAAAAATACAATTAGAATGAAAACGGTTGGTGAGAGTCTCAGATAAGACTAGATCAGAGAGCCTGAAGGCAGAGCATTTCAGGTCGCCTGAACAGATACAGAGATTAAACAAGGCTGAACTTCAAAGACACACTCTCAACCACTGTAAGGAAATACCAAGTGGTTTAATGCACGTATAACTGTCACCTTGGAAAAGGAGAGAGCAGAAGGAACTATTTGCAGAAGGAATGCAAAGTGTTTTCAAGAATCTGTTGGAGGCTCTAAACCTGCTGATTCGGGAAATGAAGCGAATCCCAAACATTAAAAACCCTGAAGAAAATCATGTCAAGGCTGTTGTAATTTAAAAAGCGGCATGAGAGAGAAAGACGCCATGCGGCAAAACTCATGTGAAGGTTTTTTATTAGGGGAAAGGGAACATAAAAAGGGGGAAGAAAAGGGGGAGACTGGCCTCTGGAGACAGGAGCAGCAGAAGAGGGGAGAGGCAGTGTGTGTGTGGGGAAACAGACAGGCAGAGAAGTAGAGAGAGAAAGAGAGAGAGAGAGAGAGAGAGAGAGAGAGAGAGGAACAGAGAGACAGAGAGAAGAGAGAGAGGTGGGAGATGGTCAGAGCCCTTTTAAAAGGAACTTAGTAAGTGTGCACAGCAGGTGCTCTTAGTAGCTGAATCCTGCCAGAACCCTATAAATGAAGATTGTTCCTTTGTTTCTGGACACCCAGGTCTAAATAATCACACAGAAACTATATTAATTACAACGCTGTTTGGCCAATAGCTCATATTTCTTATTAACTAACTTTTACATCTTAAATTAACCCATTTCTATTATTTATATTTTACCATGAGATATGTGGTTTGTTACCTCTTGCTTCTTGGGCAGCTACATGGCATCTACCTCCTTAGGCAGTTATGTGACGTCTCCTTCACTCTGCCTATTCTTTTTGTATATATCTCTTTTTGTGTTTCTTGCCTGGCTTTACTCTGTGCCATTGTCCCAGACAGCATATATACAAAAGGGCATCCCACATCATCTCCCCCTTTCTGTCTAATTAAAAAGGAAGGTTTTAACTTAAACATAGTAAAATTAAATAATAAAATAGTTATCAAGCAAGAATACACTTATAATATTTAGTCTAAAGCCAGGCGGTGGTGGCGCATGCCTTTAATCCCAGCACTTGGGAGGCAGAGGCAGATCTAGCTCTAGGATAAGCTCCAAAGCTACAGAGAAACTTTGTCTTGAAAAACAAAAGAAAAAACCACAGTATTTAGTCTGTTTGTATTTGGAAAGTTTTATATCTAATTTCATATCTAATTTATCTTTTACCATAACTAAGGGAAACTGTTTTCAATTCCATCAACAACTCCAGAAGGATAAGTAAACAGTAAACAGTGCATTGTAAGCAATTTCCAAAACTTTAGAATTGACAGAGACATCTTGCTGCCAGGACAGTCTCCCAAAGTTCTTCTGTAATGTTGGGGCATCCCATCTTCAGCCTACAGGACCACAGGATCTGGCAGACCTTTCCATGAAATAGGAAATTTGAAAGGTTGTTTCACCTATATTGGCAGTTTGTTAGTCACCTTCTTCTGATTCCTGCAGAATGTCTGGCAGACTCTTTCATGAAGTAGGAACCCTGAAGGACTGTATCACCTTCTTTAGGCAAGTTCAGCAGTCATTTCTCTGTGGGTCCTGCATGTTCAGTTCATACAGCATACCATCAAACAGTGCAGTTCTTGCCCACATGGCTAGCCTGGTCTCATTGAAGGCAAATTCTGTAACAAGTTTCTTCAGTGTCTATCAACCTCTCTGAAGTAATTGGTGCTGTCAGAAGCAGACTGTCAAGAAAAGTCTAAGTTCTTAAATTATTTTAAATGTCATATTCTGTAAGTCTTTGAAGGGTTTGAAGAATACCTATCCATCTGAAACCTATCTCTATACATCTAGAAAACTTAACTACATGACTACAATGTTTGTTTATCATATATGACTATCACTCTGTATTTAATTGTACGTTACTTTTTTTAAAAAAATCTTTATTTATTACATATACAGTGTTCTGTTTGCGTGTATACTTGCAGGCCAGATGAGGGCACTAGATCTCATTACAGATGGTTGTGAGCCATCATGTGGTTGCTGGGAATTGAACTCAGTACCTCTGGAAGAGCAGAGAGTGCTCTTAACCACTGAGCCATCTCTCCAGCCCTATACGTTATATTTTTAAATGAGCCTCACGAACACAATACCTTAAGCAAAAGCAGAAATACATATACACAGTGTAGCAAATCTACCTTAAATTTGTATCAATAGATCAAAATCCATACCAATGTAAAGTATTCATCTCTATATCATATCTCCCCTATTTATTTATTTATTTTAGAAATTGATTGTGACCATTAATCAACCCCCTCTAAATGAAAGCAAACATTTATAAACAATCATTTTGGGAATTTGGATATAGTTTTCTTCAAACTGCTTCTTGCTGTTTGTTGGGTGAAGTATTTTTAGGGTTCATGGAGACTTCGGGGATTTTGTTCCATCAAACCACATTAGCCTAGAAGGAATCTACATGTTCTCATCTTCTGTGGAAACAAAAGCAGAGTCTTTTTTCCAAAGTAACATATCCTTAGACTCAAATTTTGAAGCCAATAGACCTTTGAAATATATATGTTGGTTTAACTTAGCAGCCCTCAGAATCAAATGTCTTTCTGCAACCAAAAAATTCTAAGAAAGCACAATAATATTCATAATCTGGACTCTCTGTGTATTTTCCATATTTATGTGGCTCATTCTTTACCCTATTACTTTTTAATATTTATTTCATTATCTTTACTTCTTTAATCTATGACTGTCTATCTTTTTATAACTATCTATACTTTTTTTCCTCTCTCTCTGGGCATGATCTCATGTACTATAAATGCAGATGAAAAGCATGTATGGGCCTCTTGGCTGTAAGGACTTCCCACAGCAGAACCCCATGGTCAGGCCAGTAGAGATGCCTGAATACTAACAAATACATTATCAAAACCAAATGAGTGAGGGATAGAGGTGCTGTGGGATAATACTCTTGTACACTGCAAAGATTTGTCATTTATATTGGTTATACTGGTTTAATAAAATGCCAATTAACCAATAGCTAGGCAGGAAGTATAGGCGGGGCAACCAGACTAGGAGAATTCTGGGAAGAGGAAAGGAAGAGTCAGTCACCACCCAGATGCAGAGGAAGCAAGATGAGAATGCCTCATTGAGAAAAGTAGGCTCGGGGGCTGGAGAGATGGCTCAGTGGTTAAGAGCATTGCCTGGTCTTCCAGAGTTCTTGGGTTTGGTTCCTGGCAACCATGTGGTGGCTCACAACCGTCTGTGGTGATGTCTGGTGCCCTCTTCTGGCCTGCAGACATACACACAGACAGAATATTGTATACATAATAAATAAATAAATAAATAAATAAATAAATAATTTTTTTAAAAAAAGAAAAGTAAGCTCTGTTTGCTGGTGGCAAGCAGAGGTGTGGCTCCTTTAAGAGAATCTTCCTGACTCAACTTTAGCCATGAAAACCTCACAGCTCTTTTAAGAGGCCCTGCCACCAAACACTTAAATGGTGTTTATGAGCAGTTGCTGGCATGCTTCTTGGTAGTGGTAGGGACCTTGAAACTGCATAGAAATGTGGCAATTAAAATGACTCCTGCCAGTATCTCTGCCATGAAACTAGACTCTCCGAAAGTCTGGGGTTATAGCCCAGGGCAAGGTCCTTTAATTCTGGTGAAAAAGGGAAAAGGAGCCACTTTTCAATATGAAGGCACAGTTGGTTCAAAACGACAGGCTGGGGAAAGGTATGGATAGTAATAGTCATCAAAAGACAGCTGGAGGGGCTGTGTTCATAAGAAATGGACAGAACAGGAAGATTACCAGGGATCAAGAGAGGCATTTCAAAAGGACACATAAATCTGTGCAGGTAGCCGTTAGCAGTGCCTCTACATACGTGGAACACATGTGAGGACACTAAACATGCAGATGAGTTGGCGGTGATGTGGCACAGGGCCCATCAGCATGTCCCTCAGTCCTGACAGAATAAACGAGAAATCGAGGCATGGAAAACTTGAGCATCGCTGCCGAGCGTTTGATCGGATCGACACCTGTGCAAAATGCTGTCCAGCAGTCTAGGAAAAGGGAGGAGTGAGCAGGAAGTCCCCAGTTCCTTAGACATCAGAGAGCGGACTTCTGCATTTCAAAAAGAAACTAAAAGGAAAATAAAGATGTAAGATATTAGAATATAAGAGATGCCATCAAGACTGCACCTCAAGACGTGATTAAGAGAGTAAATATTGTCACTTTACTAAGTGGCAAGAGAGAGCCGAGTTTGGTGGCCCAGACTTTCTTCTAAGAGTTAAAAAAACAGAGCATGTGACAGCCAGAGAAAGAACGAATATGGAAAAACTGTTTGCTTCCGAAAAGATGCTTGCCAACAAAAGTCTATAAAAATGCAAATCACCAATAAGAGCAATAAAGGAGGGACATTTCCATAGATATTAAAAGGACAATTCAGCCAGGTATGGGAGTACACACCTCTAAACCCAGCACTTGGGCACTGGCGGGCTAGTTTACATAGCAAAGGTACAGAATGTGACCCTGTCTCAACCAACAAGGACTATCAAAGACCAATACCAACAACTTTATGGGAATGAACTTCTGAAGAGAAAATGGAGGAATTTCTTTTAAATATGCTTATTGCCAAAGCTCCCTCAAGAAGACACAGACTAGTCAGATGGCGGTGGTGCACGCCTTTTGTCCCAGCACTCCAGAGGCAGAGGCAGATGGATCTCTGAGTTCAAGACCAGCCTAGTCTACAGAGCTGACTACACAGAGAAACCTTGTCTCAAAAAAAAAAAAAAAACCCAAACCAACCAACCAAACAAAAACAAAACAAGAAACAGACGGCATGGAGAGCTGTGGACTTTGCCGTTGAGAGCCACCCTCAAGGGAACCTCAGGCCTTGACTCCATTGTGAATGGAAAGAAGAAATACTATCAATCCAAGCAAACATTTGAGGAAGAAATAATGCCAACACCAGGAGAGAAAAATAGAATAAGATGGCACGTATGGCAGGTAAAGGTGTTTGCTCCCAAGCCTGAGGGATGACCTGAGTTCAATCCCAGGGAACCATATGGGGAAAGGAGAGAATGGACTCCCTCCAATTGTCCTTTGACCTCCACATGTGCGTGCACAGACGCACAATAAATGTAATGTTCAAAAAACAAAAAGAGGGGCTGGAGAGATGGTTTAGAGGTTAAGAACACTGCCTGCTCTTCCAGAGGTCCTGAGTTCAATTCCCACCAACTACATGTAATGAGGTCTGGTGCCCTCTTCTGGCCTGCAGCATACATAAAGGCAAAACACTGTATACATAATTAATAAATAAATCTTAAAAAAGAAATGAACACTTTTAAATTCATTTTGTGAAGCAAAAGTCGAAGACATTTTAAAAATAGAAGAAAACCGCCTCTAATAATCACGCACATAGGTGAGGAAGTTTGCATCACACTGAATCTTTTGATGCAATGCCAATCAAGATCTAGGAAGAACTTTTTAAAATGAGTAACCCTTTTAGTTGTGTGTGCGTGTGTTCACACATGTAAAGTGCAGGTGCTGTGGAGGTCAGAGAAGGGCGTCTGATTCCCAGAAGCTGGAGTTCCAGGCTTGCTCTGTGTGTGGGTTGTTGGGGTGTGAACCTGGCTGCTTTGCAAGGGCTCTGACCATTGAGCTGCCTCGCCAGCCCCAGGAAGACTGTGTTGGTAGCAATTGATCTGCTGATGGTAGCATTTGTGTGGCGTTGTAGAAAGGCAGCTGTTGTGACAGGAAGTTCGGGAGCTGGCAGATGCCAGATCCAGATGGAAATGACTTCAGAAGCACACGGGAACTTTTGGGGTTACGGATAACCTTAATGTCTTAATTGTGACGGTCTCCAGCACAGCTGCGCACACTGTCGGAGCTTAGACTCTTACCTTTACCACCGAAGAACTTTATCGCATGTAAATATATCTCGACCAAGCTAGGTTAATAATGAAAATAATATGTAAAGCCTCCGTGGCTGTGTGCAGCAGCGAGGGTGATCTTGTGTGGCCTCCTAATTCCGTCAGTGCAGTGTGCCTGGACTCTGGGGCGACAGAGCAGTTGGTGGGTGTCCTCGTCTGCCCCGCAAGATCTCTCAACCTAAGCCACCATTAGCATAGAGCTGGGACGGCGCGAGACGGCCCCTGAACACGCTGTATCTTATTTCAGGTGTGTAGAAGAATGCAAGCCTGAGGTTCCCCTCAAACAGACGGAACATGCCCCAGGGCTTCACTAAAGCGGACAACGGTGCCCTGAAATATGAAGACTCTGGCCAACGTAACAAGCACAACTACAAACTACAGAAAGGTCTAGTGAATTTCGATCTCAGCATGCCTGCTCTAGTACAGAAGAGCACTATTGGGCGGATTAGTAAACCCTGGGTGTTATCCACAAGGCCATCCTTTGAGAGTGTATGAGACAGATTGCCTTTGGCCCTGCTGACCCCAGAGTGTAGATGGGGAGAGACTGTAAGGAAGGATAAATGGGAAGGTGACTGTCCCTTCAGTAACAACAAGGTACATGCTATTTCCATATGTTCAGTCAGAGTCCTGTTCTTTGGTTGTTAATGTGTAGCAGGTATTGCTTGCTTTATTTCTGACAACTAAATTCTTACTGCAAGTCCTCATTTTTTTTTACTTCTTTTTCTGGGTTTATAGCTGAACTATGTTTCTTGTAGGCAGCATCTAGCTGGGTCTTTCTTTCTTGTCCAGTCTGACAATTCCTGTCTTTGAACTGGAATGTCTAGACCACTTAATGTTTAATGTGGTTATAGATGTGTGAGTCTGCTGGTTTGTGATTTGCTTTCTGTCCTATCTGCTCGTTCTGTATTTGTTCACTCTTTTGTATTGAATATTTTAATTTTAAAGCATTTATTTTACTTTATGCGTTTGGGTCTGCATACCATGTGCATGTAGCATTTGAAGAGGCCAGAAGAGGGTGTTGGATCCCCTTGGAACTTTAGTTACAGATGGTTGTGAGCATATGGTGCTGGGAATTGAACCTGGGTCCTCTGGAAGAGAAGTCTGTGCTCTTAACCCCAGAGTCATCTCTTCAGTTTCTATTTTAATTTTTGAAAACTATAGTTATTTATTTTGTATGTGCATGCCGGGGAACACATGTGGAGGGGACAGAACAACTTTTAGGCATTGGTGCTCTCCCTCCCCCACGTGGTTCTTGAGGACTGAACGCAGGCGGTCAGGCTTGGCAACAAGAGCCCTTGCCCACTGAGCCGTTCTCTGACCCTGTATCGAGCGTTTTTTTTAATTCAAAGAGGACAATCTTACTGGAGAAAAGAAAGACCCCAGAGCAGATAAACTGTGAATCTCAGAAGCTTCCAGGAGGAGGAGAACAGAGAAGAGATGTAGAAAATGCCATGGAGTTGAGCCGCATGTCATCAGGCAGCTGCAAGGCGTATGTGTGTGCACATTTCTCTGTGTGTGTATGTGTGCATGTGTGTGCGTGTATATGTCTGTATCTGTGCATTCATGTGTGTGTGCGTGTGTGTGTGCGCATGCACGCACATTTCTCTGTGTGTGTGCATGTGTATGCGTGTATATGTCTGTGCATTCATGTGTGTGTGCATGTGTGTGTGCGCATGCACGCACATTTCTCTGTGTGTGTGTGTGCATGTGTATGCCTGTGCATTCATGTGTGCATGTGTGTGTGCGCACGTGTGTGCATATATGTTGTAGAGAAAGAGTAAGGAAGTCTAATAGACTACCAATATAAGTATACATTTGTTCTGACCAGAATCCGAGAGAGAGAGAGAGAGAGAGAGAGAGAGAGAGAAAGAGAAAGGAAAAGTTGTATCCTTCTGAGTCACAGAAGGTTCTGTATCACCCTGAACCTCATAGCCCCTAGTGAGGACTGCCTATAGTGAGTTCTCTTTCGTTAGCTCACTAGGATAACTATTTGGGTTTTTTTTGTTTGTTTACTTATTTTTTGAGGCAGTGTCTCATATATTCCAGGCTGGCCTTGAACTCAATATGTAGTCAAGGGGTGACCTTGAATTTCTAATTCTAACACCAGTTTCTGGGTGTTGCAAGTACAGGTGTGTGCCACCACACCTGGTCCTGTGTGGTGCTGACGATGGAACCCAGGGCTTTTGTGCATGCTAGGGAAATACTCTGCTTACTTTGCTCACTGAGCTACATCGCCAGCCTAGGATGGATCCTTAGAGCGCTTTCCTAGCGGATGCACTGAGCAAACACTGGCGGCGTACGCTGATGGCTGTCTTTTTGTTGTTGTTTAGGTTTTACCGCTGCGTACCCAACTCAATCTTCCATTCCTTATAGATACAGAACAGCAGTAATCCTAGAATCAGAAAGAAAGGGATTTAACAGCCAAGCCAAGAGATTCTACAACAAAAAGGTAAATGACATTGCCTTCAAAATTCTTTGAATTTTAGCTGTTGTGTTTCCTCTATGAACAGCAGAGGGCAGTATCACCCAAGGACCGGTGCTATCCTCCAAGGATGTGTCAGTAAGGTAAGAACCAGCCTGAAATTGATTGATTGATTGATCGATCGATCTACTTATTTGCTGTGTTGGGGATCCACCCCAGGACTTTGTATATACTATATGTTTGGAAAACATAACCAGGGGTCTTGCTGTGTAGCCCAGGCTGGCTTTGAATTCAAGGTCCTTCTTCCTTGGCCATTTGTGTGTTTGAATTGAAGGACTGTGCACTAATACCCTGTAGCCAAAATTATCTTTAATTTGAAAGGAATAAAAATACAAGATCTTTCAAATCCTATGTATACGCAGTAGAAGATTAAAAACCAGCCTACTCTGTTCTATCAGAGGGAATTACGTCATCCCCCAGATAACACATGGGCAAACAAGTTTCTGATACATTTATTGTTGTATTTGTGATGAGCTCCCCCACTAAAAATTTCCTTAAACAGCAACAAAAATAAAATAAAATTCCTTAAATAATGTCTTACTATTACTATGGGGGCTGGTAAGGTGGCTTAGCAGGTAAAAATGCCTGCCACCAAGCCTTGAGTCCTGGAGCCCCATGGTGGAGAGCAGCCAGTTCTTTTAAAAGTTGTCCTCTGATCTCCACGTGTGCGCCATGGTATGTGCACACACACAAGTAGATAAATAAATGCAATTTAAAAACAATGCTCGACTTGGCTGTCTCTATCCGTCCCCTCGTCTCTAGATCTCCACGTCTGGGAAGCTCTGGTTGTTTCCTGGCCAGCCTTTATTTAACTTATTCCTGGGACTCGACCTTCTCCCTTCTCACCAGCAGGGGGCTGTAGCAACTCGCAGGCATCCGGGGAGAGTCTTCACCACTTCCCATCCCTGGCTTTTAGTAGGAGCCTGCGTTCCTTGGCAGCAAGGGCCATCCCTGTTACCGTCTGCTGCCTTCTGCAGGCAGCTGGGCTCTCATCCTTCCACTTTGCCTAGATGGCAGAGAAGGGGTGGGAGGACCCCGATTCTGAATACAAGTGAGGTATGCCATCGTGCACCCCTCTCCCCGCTTTGCTGGGCCCTCACCCCAAGCCCAGCTCTTCCTTTGTGAGCTGGTATGCGGAACTAGAGAGTGGATTAAGTTCCTTTAAGCTCCCATTACCTCAGGATCTATGAAGCCCGCAATAAATAATAGAGCACACACATATTTTAGAGCCACTGGTAGCTTTCCTCAGAATGATAAACACTTGCTCAGGCATCCATCTTCCTTTCTTTCCTTCTTTCTTTCTTTTTTCTAGTTTCTCTGTATTTCAGCTGTCAGCCCCTTCCCCACTGCTGTGTGGGTTCCCATTGATCACCTTTAATGAGGGTGTGTTAGTTGTCCATGTCCGGGGTGTCTGCAGCTCAGTTCTCACGAAAAAGAACAGCAGCTGTCACTGACCATCCCCTAATAAGTGTTAAAGCATTTTTAGGCCGTGTCACTGCTCCCCAGAACAATGCTAAAAGGAACTTCAGAACATAAGAGGAAACCGAGGCTTAGGGAGGTAAAGTGACCCACCCTCGGTCACACAACCCAGGGTTTGCCACATAAGAGAGACTAAGTAAATATTTGCTGAGTCAATGTTGAAAGAATTAGACCTCAACCCAGGCGCAGCTCACGCCAAAGCCTCTCACTCTTTCCACACCGGGCCACGCCCGCCTTTGTGGCCTTCGAGGCTGTAAATTTGGTTGATGAAAGTCAGCATGCTTCTGGACCGGCCTTGGCAAAACCTAAGGTATCTCCAGGGACGCGAATAAATGCTTCTTGTCGGGGCTCCGACCCACATGGCAAGTTCTGAAGGCTCTGATCCCAGAGCTCAAGGTGCCCTGTGAAATCCTGTCACGTCTCCTGCCCAGGGAGCTGGCATGGCCAGCAGCCTGAACGCAGTCTGAATGGCTGGCCGCACAGATACAGGCGGAAACCACTAAAAAGTTTGGTTTCAAATTTTCCAGGGTGGTTGCATCCATTTGATGAGAAAACTTTCGTCTGAACCTTTGAAAACTTTTTTTTCTTTGCTAAAGCATGGTGTCTCTATGGACCCAGCTCCCTGTGTTCTTTGTCCCTAGCTGGGAGCCTTGAGAGCAGCCGCTTGTCCTTTTTGGGCTTTGGTTTCCTCATCTGCATCATAAAAGTTGGGATTGTGTAATTCTTGGGGAGTTATATAATTCCCCATGTCCTAAGCACAGAGACTCCACTCCTTCCGAGCCCTCTGCCCGTCATTCTCATTTCTCCTGGGGAAACGAGCGTGGAGAAGTAATGCGCTTGCGCGGCATCACCCAGTAATTTAGTGAGACAATGCAAGTTAACTAGAGATTTGAAACCTCCCCTGCCTCACCACCCTTCTTAAGACAGGAGGCAAACACGCCCTGTGCTGAGCCCACACCCGGTCATCTGCTCACCTCGGAGTTGTGACCCACTTAGCCCAGCTTTTCCCTGGTGTCCTCAGAGGCAGGCACTCACTTTTGCTGCCTCTGAGCCTCAGGGCCAGTAGGGATTCCTACCTTTCTCGTAGGAATCCCTCCGCCTGGGTGCCAGCGTCAAGGTATCCCCGGCAAACTTAAGGATCTGAGTTCACACTCTGGGATCCATGCAGAAGGAGGACAGAACTAACTCCCTCGTTTGTCCTCCGAACTCTGCTCTCACGCGGTGGCACATGTGTGCCCTTGCACGCGCACTTTTTTTTTTTTTTTTTTTTTTTGAGTAAAGGAATCTCAACACTGGTGGTGTGAGAGTCCTACACAGACTTGTGGCTAAACTGGCAATTTTGATTGCTAGGAATAAACTTCGTGGTTATTTACAAATGTGTGGCTAACTTTACATTCCTGAGGAGACCTGCCGCTAGGTGACGGAGCCCTGTTCCTCAGCCTGTGGGATATTTTCTTCCCTGTCTCCCATCTTCTGCTCCATCTCACCCAGTTTCCCAGGCCATGGAGCTGTAAAGGCCCCATGTGTTGCCTCTGCATCTGTTTCCTCCTCTTAAAAAATTAGAACGCTACACTAGATTAGCTTCTCCTGGGAGTGGCAATTGCATGTTACCAAACCTGCTGCCTTCCATCGGAATGAACACAAGCTGGGAGGACAGGGACCCTGTGTCTTCCAAGTGGGCATCATTTAAGGTGCATAATCAGGGGCTGGAGAGATGGCTCAGTGGTTTAGAGCATTTGTTACCCTTGTAGAAGACCTGGATACGGTTCCCAGGACCCATATGGTGGCTCATAAAATGCACAAGGAAATTGAGTATCCTGGCCCATGCCTGCAATTCCAGCACTTGGGAGGCTAAGGCAGGAGAATCAGTGGTTTAAGATTATCCTTGACTGTGTAGTGAGTTAAAGTCTAGCCTGGCATAGAGAAACCACCTCAAAAACAAATTAGTTAGCTAGCTAGCTAATTCGGGTAGTTCTGTACAGGGTCTGACAGGAGAGCTATCCTCCCGAACAGTCAGGGGCCACAGTTGAAATTATGACAAAATCATGCGAGGTTATGTTTACGGATGAACTCGACAGAATTTATGGAAGTTTTGTGGAAACCGCAGTGTAGGGGGCCATGCTTGACTCTAGGTTCTGCAGTAGGACCCCCTCTCCCTACAAGCCTGGGGAGATTCCCTGGCCCAGGAGCTGAATGCCCACTCCTTCATGACCCTTCCAAGGTTACATGGATAGGGACCATCTCCCACTCCTGCACCTGCGGAGGTTGCCAGTCCAATGAGCTCTCCAAGTACTTTTCAGTCAAGTGTCCCCCAAGCTGTGTGTCGGGTGAGAGGAGGGGACCACATCCGCCAAGCATCGCTTGCTCAGTCCCATGCCCACGGGGTGGTCCTGGCTCTCAGGTGGCCGTAGTAGGCAACTGTTTCTATTCTGGTCATCCCGTGTCCAGCAGTCTCACAGGGATCTCTGCCCCTGTGGAGGGCCTCTGGCTGTTACGTCATCCAGCTTTTCCCTCCACTGTAGCCTCAGGAGATTTCTCCAGTGTAAAATACTCCGAGTTACCAATTTCAATGACTGCTGTCAGGATTTTAATGGCTGCCTTCACAGGCCAGCTCCAGCATGCTTCAGCCCGAGAGATTCTCTTTGGACCTTCCATCAAGAGTAAATTTCATCCCCACAGGCTAAACAGAGACAGCCCTATTCCCATTTGCCTTGGACTCTAGCCATTTTGCAGTCTGACCCTGTTGATGGATGTCCAGTAGAGTTGTCAGATTCAGCAAAGAAAAACACAGATGCTTGGATAAACTAGAATTGCAGATAGGTAATTATTTTAGCATAAGTATGTCCCAAATACTTCATGGGCTATACTTAAGTAAAAACAGCTAGTTGCTGTTTGTGATTCTAATTTAACTGGGCAGGTTGAGTCAGAGCAGTGGGCGTGTGCAGATGGACTAGGAGCTAGAGGTATGTCTTCTCTGCCCACTGTTCATACCTGTAAGAGGCACATAGCAGTTAGCACACTGGCTGCTCTTCCAAGGACCCGGGTTTGGTTCCCAGCACCCACATAGCAGCTCGTAGCTGTTTGTAACTTCAGTTCTAGGGGACCCAATGCCTTATTCTGGCCTCCATGGGCACCAGACACATACGTCCCTGCAGGCAAGATACTCATACACAACATCATCGTAATTAGTCACATGTCCCACCGTTGTTCCTGCTGCAGCTTCCCCTAGCGACACTGGGATCCCAGCACCTTGAGGCCCGGTGAGGTTAAAGTTACTGAAAATCATGAAGCTGAGCAGCACAGAGGACAGACTTCCCAATCCACAACCCTGGGCAGGACTTTTCTCTTAGTCCCCTACAGTCTCATCTGAGAGGCAGTTGGTCTCCGTGGTCAGGAGACTCTCACCGGACTGTCCAGGTTCAATTCCGACTCCGACCTTTGCTGGTTGGGCAGCATTAGGTCGTCTCTCTTTGACCCCATCTTCTCTGTTTTCCAGTGAAGACTCAGTGAGCCGCCATTGTGAAGTCTCAGTGTGCTGTACACAGTGGGCCCACAGCACCGGGGACCCTGACTCCTCTCTCTGTGGTCCTTCCCTTCTGCATCTTCAGTGTCCATGCTTCTGACTCTTGGCCAGAAGTCTGTGTCCTCTGCTTGTTCTTCCTCTGCCTGCCTCACACACATGTGCACATGTGTGTGCACACCTGTGCACAACACATACATACACACACATACTAAAATTCAGCCCCAAGATCCTGTTAGTAGTATCCATGCCTCTATTTTTTTATAATAAACTTCAATCACTCTGTCCCCGCTCTCCAGATAGGAAAGTTCTAGAAGGCACTAGCTGTGCCTCAAGCTCTCTGCCTAGATAAGGCAGCAGGCGCAGTAGAGTTAGAATGTATCTATGACTGAGTGGCGCTAGTAAACTCTGGAATCTGGGTCCATGGGCTCAAATCTGGGGTTCACTGCTTACTGGCTATGTCCCCACATGCCCAGCTTCTGCTTCCTTAGGTGACTTTGGTGACATGACCACCACACACTGTGTGCTCAGCGTTTGGACTTTGGACAAATTCATCTGCATGTGCCCATTTGTGAAATGGAGCCAGTAATCCCTTCCTCATTGGGTGATGGCAAAATGAGATTAGCTTTGTAAAGCTCCTAGTACTGGGCAGGACCCAGGAAGCTGCCCCAATGATGAAGCATCTCATCTCATGCCACTTGCTCCTCCAGCTTTTGTCAACACTGGTGTCCCCTTAGTAACTAGCACCAGACATGAGCTGGAAGATTCGGAGGCTCAGGCAGCAGCAGCAGCAACAGCATCAGAACTTGCTCTGAACACGGCATCTGCTGGCTGCTCCCTGACACTCCAGTCTCGAGTTGCCCTTGGGCCCCATGGGCTCACCTTATTTTGTCTCCGACTTCAAGATGGCCTCATTTGGAATGAAGGTTGTTTTTGTTTCATTTTGCTTTATAAACAGAAACACTCCCCAATTTCCCTTCTCAGAGGCCTCAGGAGGAAGCTGAGTCAGGTGGGTGTGGTTCCCATAAAATCGGTCACCCTCCCTTCTTTACCCCGGGCTTGGCTGGCCCGGTCCGCTCAGGCTGACATGAACACCAGCACATTTCCCTAATGACATGAAAAACACAACACGGTTCCTTTAGAACTCAGGATGGAGACTTAGGAGAAAGAACAAGGGCTTTGGGAGAGCTGACCTGGATTAGGATTCCTGCCCCTCCCATTGGTCACTGAGCTAGAGATTGGGTAAGCCAGAAGAATGGTGGAGCAAGGCTGTCACCCCTGCAAATGATGGAGCCTGCCCTGGAGGATTAGAGCAAGGCTTAGCGCTAATGGATGGAAAGCTGGCGGAAAAGCGTGTTGAAGCTGCTGTGCCCAATGACACTGCATTCTGTCCTTTTCAGGACGACATCCCGGGCCCTGGGTTCTACAACGTCATCCACCAGTCTCCAGTGTTCAACAGTGTCTCTCTTTCCAATAGAGGAACCTGCATGTTCCCCTCCACGGTGAGAGCCCCTGGGTGTTAAATGCACAGTAATTCCCTCTGTTCATTGCGTAATGATGCAGTGGGCAGCTGGTCCTTTCTCCAAAGTACCTGTTCTGATTAAGACAGCAACCACGTCCTGTGAATTCACAGAGATGTATCTGAGCCCGTGTCTTTAGGCCATCTGTCTCCACGGATGCACGTGGACGAGGTAGGGAGGGCAGCTAGAACTTGGTTACCGAGTATGAGGCAGTTTTCTTCCTGAGGCTGTTAGGTCTGCCAGGAAACGGTTCTGTCCTGTTCTGGGAAGACTGCTAACACTTAGTTCATATAACTGAGCTGTTCAAATTGTTGGGAAATTGGATGGACCAAATAGGAAATGAGGGGACAGTTTGAGGGCATGGAGGATAGGAGGTGCTTCTGCCAAAGCTGAGGGCCTGAGATGGATTTCTGGGACCCGTGTGGGAGGAGAGAGCTGCCCTCTGATCTCTACATTCGCATCATGGCATAGCCATTGCCCCCGAGAGAGAGAGAGAGAGAGAGAGACAGAGAGAGAGAGAGACAGAGAGAGAGAGAGACAGAGAGAGAGAGAGACAGAGACAGAGAGAGAGAGAAAGAGAGAGAGAGAGAGAGAGAGAGAGAGAGAGAGAGACTGCACTGGGCCTGAAATACTTCATGGTACCATGTGAGACTTTATCTTTGTTGAGGATTCTTGCAGTCAGATATGTATATGAAGCCCCAGGGAGCCTGAGCAGGCTTGGATGAAGACAGTGCTCTTCTGTGTTGGTTTTGGTATGTGTATGCTGAGGATGGCGCCCGAGGCTGCTACGAATAAGCAAGTTATGGTCTCAGCCTTAAGGGAGAGAGCCAAACCAGAGCCAGGTTGCTTAAGTGGAACAGCAAAGGAGAAAGCGGAGCCAGAATCTGCCATCGATGGGACACATGTGCCTGCTTGTTCCTTTAAAGGTTACGACAGTGTCTTACATGAACGTCTATGATGTCTGACACTGGGGCCAATTCTTATTACTCTCACACAAAGGGACCATTTAAAGGTCACCAAATGCAGCCACTTCTTGTTGGGACTCAGGTTGGCAGTGTGGAATAGTCAGGAGTAAACTGACTTAGGAGCGAAGGCCCACAGTCTCTTAGCCCTCAGCAAAGTCACAGGATAGCCAGACCTTTAGCTCCCAGTCAGGAGAAAGACCCTAAAGCTACTGTCAAAAAAGTGCTGTATCGCCTGCCGCAGCCCGGGCCACAGGAACCAGAGACCTCATCCTGACTCAGCTGTGAAGCCTGAATGTGACCTCAAGCACGTCACCTTTCCGTGTTCCAGTTGCCTCAGAGACTCCCTGGAGGCTCCGGGCAAAGTGCAGTGAGAAAGACTTTGAAATTGCAGAACAGCATAACAGGAGCTGGCGTTGCCTCCCTGAGTCACCCCTCAGACTGCCCAGAGCGCCTAGGTGCTCACTGAGAGCGCCTTTGCCAGACAGTGCACTACCGTTCCTTCTTGATGCCAAGGAGGGGCTGGATTGGAGACGTGGTTAAGGCCCTGCCAGGCTTCACCAGCGTGACTTTCAAATGGTTCAGCTATCCAGAAGGGAAGGCATGGGAAGGTTTGAAGTGTAGAATCTAACCAGGCCTTTTACTTCTTAAAAACAAAAAAAGACCCATAAAGGAGATGTGGGGTTACCCTCCCTTTGGAGCCAAGATGTCCATTTTATAGCTCTTGTTTTAAAGATAATGTTTTAAATTATGAGTCTGGGGGTGGGGTGGGGGCAGGAGGCAGGATCTATGAGTGCAGGTACCTGCAGAGACCAGCAGAGGGTGCCAGGCCCCCAGGGACTGAGTTACAGGTAGGTCTAAGTTGCTTGTTGTGGGTGCTAGGGTGCTAGGAAACGCATCCAGGTCCTCTGGTGAAAGCTAAGCTTCTGGGCCATCTCTCTAGCCCCAGCTTTATGTTTTTAAATATTTGTGTTCCTTTGTTCTTGGGAAGCAGACCTTAAGTGGTTTGTGGTACCTGACTGTAGGCCCCACGTGGTCTCCAGTTTCTGCCCAAATTAGATGAGGGTCAGAAAGTGTTTGCCCCACTTCTGGGTTCTGAGACTTGAGGAATTCAAGCCTCCCACCTCAGAAGAGGATCACAAGGGTCCATTTGAGTGTAATCGGGGCGAGGCTGCCCGGAAATGCCCGTGGGCCTATAAATTCTGCACACTTCCTGATGGCTGTCAGGGTGAAACCCAACCCTTTGAGAAGGTCTGTCGTCTCTCGGAGTTTAACTGACATAAAGCACCTCATTAAGGCACTCCAAGGTTTTGTTCTAGAATCTTCTACAACTCTGACGGGGAAGCTAAATGTGGCAGGTGGGCGGGAAGTTTGGTGGTCTTTCTGGGTCACACAGTGGCGGGTGGGGTGGTTCTGGAGGAGTCAGTATGTGTCCGGGAGAAGTTATCAAGGGCCAGTGTGGGGCCTGATTGGACACCACAGGCCTGGCAGGTAAATTCAAGATGCAGACCGGAGGGCTAGTGCCATAGACACTAATATTCTGTGAAGATGCCTCAAGGAACTTGGCATCATTGGACGTTTTTTAGAACATTCTCCTCCGCACCCCACCCTACCCCGCTCCCCAAACATAAAAGCAGTAAGTCTCTGAAGACCAAAAAGACACCACTAGGGTGTTGGCCTCTTCAGGGCCGTGCCTCCCGACCCATTTCTCTTTTGAATGTCATGTCTGATCCGCGTCACCAGGTGGAGACAGACTGCCTTCCTGAAGATGGTGGTTCTACACCCTTTCATTCGCAGAGTTGAGTTTCTTCTTCTGTGAAATGGTCATCATGTCTGCTGTTCAAAGTTGTAAAAACCAAAGGTGGCAACAAATCCGTGGCCAGATTAAAGTGTTTAAAGTGGCCAGAAAGGGAAGGCCGCTGCCGTTGGCGGAGGCTTTGCTGTTGAGAACTTGGATTTGAACCCGGGTTACAAGCCAGATAAGGACAGCCCTGCTTCTGGTGAAACCCACGCCCCCACCCCCCACCCCGTGCCACCCTTAAGAACCATCTCCACCCAGCCCTCGAGGAGAGGGTAGAGGGAGGAAAAGGATGGCTCCCAGCTCCCCCCACTTCCTGTGCTGGGTGGTATTGACCTCCGTTGAGTGGAGAAAACCCAGAGCAGGGTTCCCAAGCTTTTCACCGTGAAATTGTGGGAACTTTTTTGTTTTATCAGATTCTAATACTAGCTGTGCTGTCGTAGGGTGAGGAGATGTTATCTTCGAGTTTCTATGGCTTTTGCCCCCGTTCAGGTGGCAAACACTGGTTGTGTTTGGTTTTGAACTGAAAATACTTTAGCTTGGCTTCTCGAAGGGGCTGGAGTTGGTTCTGTTGAAACAGTAAGTATTTTAGGGTTTTTATGGCTGCGTGATTTGTTGTTGCTCTTGGTGACTTTTTGATGGTTGTTTTTTTTTTTTTTTTTTTGAGACAGTGTCTGTCTCCCTGTGTAGCCCAGGCTAGCTTCAGACTCTCTGCCTTCCTGTCTCTGCCTCCCAGATTCTGGACCACAGGTGTGTGCCACCGCACCTGGCATGAAAGCAAGCTGGCAGGGCTGGGAGGCTTGCGTGAGCACCCATCCCTGACTAGCCCCGCCCCTCTAAGCTAACTGAAGACACCCTGTAGATGCCACTGGGACCAACGTGACCCTTCCTATCGCAGGAGTCACCCCCCAGCGGACGAGGCGGGTGGAAGTAGCCTGGAACAGGGCGCAGCGAAAATGTGTTGCTGGGAAAATCGCCCTGTCCAGGTCCCAGCAGATGACGAAGAGTTTAAATTAGTTTACAGAAGTCGGAATGGGTCTGAACTTGCATTTCCCAAGAGCGAGCCCACAAAGCCCGAGGTCCAATTACTACTGTTACTTGTTACAGCATTTCCTCTTAGGGGAAACTGCTTGTAAGCTGGGCATGGTGGCTAGTGCCCAGCATGCCAGCACTGGGGAGACTGAAGCAGGAGGAACATTGCAAGTCTGTGAGGCCAGCCTGAGTCACATAGTGAGCTTCAGGCCAGCCTGGGCTACAGAGTGAGACCCTGTCTCAACAAATAATCAGACGAGCAAGCAAGCAATAAATCAAACAGTGACGGACTGGGGACGGGGTCCTTTCCCTTTGACCTGTCTTCACAGCCCTGGGGGCACTTGGCAATGCTGATTCTATTCCCTCTTCCTCAGTCTGCCCGGCTGGACGACAACATTTCTAAATATCCTGCTGCCAATGCATACACCATCCGCTCAGAGTTGTCTTCCAAGAAGGACTTCAGCAACTCGTGTTCCAGCATGTTCCAGCTGCCAAGCTTCATGAAAGTGGTCAAATCGGGAACCCCTGCCCCAAACCATTACTATGTAAGGAACGTCGCCCACCTTTGTCCAGTGCCTGTGTTGCCAGTGCTCAGGGGAGAGCATGAGGTTTGAGGAGAAGGATTTTAACACAGAGGGTCAGCCAGTGAGCACTGTGAACAAGCTGAGGGTGAAGAGGGGTCACCGAGGCTAGGGCAAGAATCTGAAGGTCTGGCAACGGTAGAGGGCAGCAGGAAGCTGCAGGAAGACCACCTCTTCACTCTGCGGAGCCTGCCAGTGGTTCTCTCCTCTGTCCTAACAGCTGTGTGTCCTGTTTCAGCTGCTGGCACTATTCGTTTACTTTTTAGAATATGATAAGGAAAACCCAGCTTCTTTCTATATCTGAAAATCACCAGCGTTCTTGCTTTCCAAGACAGGGTCTTACCGTGTAGCTCCGGCTGTCTGGAACTCGCTATGTAGTCAAGGCTGGCCTTGAACTCACAGAGACCCACCTGTCTCTGCCTGCTCAGTGCTGGGAATAAAGGTGTCAGGAATTGTGTGTGTGTGTGTGTGTGTGTGTACGTGTGTGTGTACGTGTGTGTGTACGTGTGTGTGTACGTGTGTGTGTACGTGTGTGTGTACGTATGTGTGTACGTGTGTGTGTGCATGTGTGTACGTGTATGTGTACATGTGTGTGTGTATGTGTGTGTGTGTGTACATGTGTGTGTGTGTGTGTGAGCAGTAGTGCTCTAAGTAGAATGGAATAGTGGGAAAGGGTGTCTGCAGGAAGCTGTAGTTGAACTTTCTCTGGACCACCAGCTCCCAAATAATGACACAGAGACTTCTTATTAAGTTCAAAAGCTTGGCCTTAGCTTAGGCTAGTTCCCAGTTTGCCCTTACGACTTAAACTAACCCATTTGTGTTAATCTACACTGTGCCATGGGGCTCGTACTGTGAGCCCTACTTCCCACTTCTGGCTGGTAAATCCTACCTCTCTTCTTCCCAGAGTGCCTATCTCTCTCTGGAAGTCCTGCCCATCCTCTCCTACCTGCCTATTGGCCATTCACCTGTTTGCTAAACCAGTCAAAAGGTGGCTTGGCAGGCACGGTAAAACAGTGACACATCTTCACAGTGTGCAAAACCATGATCCCGCTGCAGAAACTCTGGCTGAGATCGCCACTCTCCCATGCCCCGCATCTTGCCCATGCTCCACTAGCCTTTTCAGGACTTGGATTGTTGGTCCTGTATCGTGTGTGTGTGTGTGTGTGTGTGTGTGTGTGTGTGTGTGTGTGAATACGTGTTCACCTTCCAGACTTGGTGAAGATACTCATGGGAAGATTCTAGGTTGAGGAATGAGTCCGGCACCCGGCACACAGGTCTGCAGTAAGCAGGGAAGGGGGTGGGCCGTCCTTGGTAAGTCACGGGGTCTGTGGAGCTACCACTATTAAGTGGAATTTGTAACAACTGCTTTAGGGGGCTATGACCCACAATCCCACACAGAAGGTGTGTGCCCCAAAGGTCTTTGGTCTTAGAAACCTCAGTCTCAAGTTCCTCTTTTGAAACCCGACTTGTAAGTCATGCTTATTTGTCTACCAAGCTCCTGCCCACCATATATGACCGGGTCAGTTGACTGTGATGTGCATGGAGCAGGGGTGGCACCTGCTGGGTCAGCTCCGGACAGTAGTGACTTGATGGGGACAGCTGTGTCCTTTAGAGATCTTTAGCAGTGGCATGTAGAACTAAAAAGGAACAGGTGAAATGAACTTTTATAACGTGTCTTGTCATATATTTTGCAATATGTCCCAGTAGATCCAAAATGTCACTGTTTCGACGTCAGTCACATACTGATATAAGATTATTAACGAGATGTCTCAGGAGGCCTCTTGCCTCATTGGGAGTTTTTGGCATTTAATATGTATTTGATATTTACAACCTGTCTTAATTTTGGATCAGTCATGTTTCCAGGGCTGATTGTGGCTAGCTCAGCATTTCACTGCAGACCCCAGGGGAGTGTCTGAACTTTGTTCTCTGTGCCCTGGGGTGGTGCTGGGAGGGGTGGAACAAAACCCGAGGAGGTTCCTAGAGCACCTCTCTCAGACTGCAGTGTGGGGACTTCAGAGAGGAAGCTGTTAGGCTGAGGGAGAAAGGAGGGGTATGGTCCAAGCTTGCTCTGCCCAGGTGCATGGCATTCAGAGAGAGGCACTGGCCTCCTGGAGACAGGCTCCGCTCTGGCCTCGTGAGCACCCCTCCGTGGCCTCCATAGTTGCAGCAGTGGGTGATAGGGCTTGAGCTTTGCCTGGCTGCTTCCAGGGCTCTGTGTCATCTGAGGCAGCTGGCTGCGTCCCTGTGCTGGTCACAGGCCCTGGACACAGAAGTGTGGGATCAATGTCCATCATCAAACGAGTGATCTTTGGGCCCACACAGCTGTGACTCTGCAAATGACTGAGGTCCAGACCAATTTTTTTTCTTTTTGCCAATATATGCTTGGTGCATACGTGTGTGTGTGTGTGTGTGTGTGTGTGCGCGCGCGCGTGCGAGCATGTGCACCTATGTGTTCATATGTAAACATCAGGTTTCTTCCTCTGTTGCTGCCTACTGTTTTTATTATTAATTAATTTTTTTTTTGAGAACACATCCTCACTGACTGGCTGGCCAATGAGCCTCAGGGACCCTCCTGTCCCTGCCTCCCCCAGGTGTGTGTCATGGTGCCTGACTTTATGCTGAGTGCTGGCATGTGAACTTGGGCCCTTCTATTGGCTCAGCCATCCCTCCAGCCCCATAGAGTGCGTGAGTTTTGTCCATAACTGCTTCAAGGCGACTGAACGTAGCACGCGTACATTTTGAATATGCAATTAAGCCCTGTACAAATCCAACATGCAGAGTAGAATTTCCTTGTGATTATTCTGCTCTTTGTTAAAAAAGTTTATTTTTTAAAATGATATGTGTGTGTGTGGTGGGGGCAGTGTCTTATACCTTAGTCAGGGGCCTTTGGAGGTCAGAGGCATCGATCCTGTAGCTGGAGTTACAGGCAGTAAGTAAGAAGTCAGTTATTGTGGGTGCTGGGTACCGAACTCTGATCTACAAGAGCAGTATGTGCTCTTTTTTTTTTTTTAAAGATTTATTTATTTATTATGTATACAACATTCCTTCCATGTATGTTTGCATGTCAGAAGAGGGCACCAGATCTCATTATAGATGGCTGTGAGCCACCATGTGGTTGCTGGGAATTGAACTCACGAGCAGTCAGTGCTCTTAACCTCTGAGCCATCCCTCCAGCTCACAGTATGTGCTCTTAACCACTGAAGCATCTCTCTGACCTGGGCCAGTTCTTTTTTAGTGAGGGTTCCCAAGGCAAATGCCATCAAGAGCCGGGTGCAGTTCCTTCAGAGTCACATTCATACACACACATACACACACGCACGCACGCACGCACATACAACATGCCCTCCATCAGTTTTGGAGTCACCCTGCACAGGGTCCGGGTGTATTTCCTCTTAGCCCCCCCAATTCTTCTCCAGGTACCCCAGTAACTCAGCTTTGTTCTGCATCTGACCTGCTGCGTATTTTCTTAGTCTACTGGCGAAATCTTCCTGTGGACTCACAGGTATACAGAGATGCCCGGTTTTCCACAGGTTTTCTGTCTGGGTAAAGAACAAAGCCAGGGTACTGTTTTGTCTGCAGGAGGCTTTCCCCCAGCCTGGAGAACAATGGTGGCGGCATCAGGCAAGGAGCCCAAAGGCCATAATCCCGTTAGCCATGCTGGGCCCTGAGCAACTTGCCCAGCCTCTGTCCAGCTTCTCTTTTGGAGTCCTGTGCTGTGGGGGCTGTTATTATCTTCCCCCGGCCTGGCGCTCTCCTGTCCAGTAATTAGCCTGCCCATCTGGCCTTTGTTCAGGAGTTCTCTGCAGGCAACCCGCCGCCAGGGCCCTGGGAAGAGCCGCATTCCTCCACCTCTGTGAGCACAAAAATCAAATGCCATCTGTGTGTCTCAAGAAACCTTTTTTCTCCCCCCCCCTTTTTTTTTTCAAACAAAGGAGTATCAGGGAGATTCAAGCTGCCCCAGCCCCCAGCAAATAGTTTCACCCATTCAGCAAAATTCCCAGCGCTCTGGGGCACAATTTTATTGCTTCTGTTATCTAACAAATAGGAGACTGGCTACAAACTGGCACTTCAAATATTTGTGATTCATGCATAACATCAGAATGGTCTCAGGTCCCGCGAGACCCAACTCCCCATCTCCACCCCCCACACCATTCTTAGAGTTCTGAGAGCATGGGACACTCTCATATGTATATTGCGTGGATCAGCCAAAATTCTTAACTTCTGGTCCGTCCAGAAAAGCAGAGAGAGAAGAGCGATTGCAGACTTGATCGTAATCTCGAGCGATAGGACTCGGCGCTCCCCAGATGCCGTGTGCAGCGAGCACTGTTTGCACAGAGAAGAATGCAGCCGGGGACCAGGTGGAGAGGCATGAGGACTTGTCCTGGAAAGGACAAAAATGACAGCAAAAGAAATGTAAATGAGTTGTAACCGCTCCGCACCAAACGCTCAGTAAGAACACCCCCCCACACACACACACCCAGCCGTGGGTGCAGCTGAGCTGTGGTGCACAGGACCCCAACACTGAGAAGAAACAAACAAGCAAAACCCAACTTTCTCTAGACGGTTTGTGATGGCCTCGCCTGCCCAGGGCAATGCTCTAAAACAAGCAGAGTGGGGGTCACCTGATACATTTTACAGAGCGAGAACTCAAGTGCAAAGAGATTAAGCCCCCTGATCAGGGCCACGCAGCCTCAGCCAGGCCGAAGAGGGGCCAGAGACCAGGGTCTTCAGGTCTCCCTCCTAGCCATTCTCCTCTGGTTTCACCTTGGTGTGCGTGCATGTGCGCATGTGTGTATTTGAGAGTGTGTGTGTGTGTGTGTGTGTGTGTGTGTGTGTACGTGCATGATGGTCACAGACCACTTGAACTAAGTAATAAAGTCACGTGCAGAGTCACCTTTTCAACTCACGTCAGTTCTCCTCTCAAGAAGGACAGGTTTCAATTTGGTTCCTATTTGCCACCTGTCCAGGCTGGGTGACAGAGACAGAGAGGGGCAGGCACTGAGCACACGGGGTGTGTTTTCTCCCTCACAGGCCTCCTTCCCAGGCTGCAAAAAACGAAGCAATGTCTCTCCTCGAGTTGGGTTTCTGTCAAAAACAGAAAGAGGAGTCTTCCCTTTGACCAGATCTGGAGGGCCAGCTCCAGGTAAGCAGTGACTTGGCTCTGGGTCTCTGAGCACCATCTCCCTAAAGGGAGTCTGTTGGGAAAGAGCTTGGTTTGCCCGTGTGTGTGTGTGTGTGTGTGTGTGTGTGTGTGTGTGCGCGCGCACGCACATGCGTGTGTGTGGGGTGGGTGGGTGGGATGTATGTGGATGGGTAGGATGTGTGTGTGTGTGGGATGCGGGGGGATGTGGGGAGATGTGTGTGTGTGTGTGTGTGTGTGTGTGTGTGTACGTGCTCATGTATGCAGAGAAAGTGCTGAACATAGAGGAGAGGATTAGGGACCCAGTGGCTCAGCACATGTAGCCTAAGCAGCCTTCTTGATGTGGCCTTTTGGGGTCAGGCACAGCAGCCAGGTGAGGAAGTGGCCTCTTCCTACTGACAGGGAGAGAGAGGGTGACACTAGTTCAGAGGTCACTTCACTGTCTTCCTGAATCATGAGGCAGGTCCTGGCTGCATTTCCCAGCGTTTATTCCACAGGGAGCATTCTGCCTGCCTGTGCCCAGAGTCCTGGATTTCATCACGAAAGAAAGATGCTCAAAGAGTTATAAAACTTGTCCAGTGCCGCTAACCACTAAATAGCGTATCTAAGCTCAAAGATGCCTGACCAGACCCCTGTTTCCCTTCTGGCCCCTGGTGCCTTCTGGACCAGGATCCAGGATCACATCAGAGCTTGCCTGAATCGAACTACTGTATTCCAAAAGCTGGCCTGGAGGACATCCTAGTGGATTGATCAGTTCAGAGGGTCCAGAAGAGCACACACAACCTGACTCCCGGCCTTTCCCAGTCAAGCCTGGAGCTTTGGTCCCAGAACCCAGAGGAGGGGCAGGGAGGCATAGGGTGTGGAGAAAATTGCAGGGCATGTCAGCTTTCAGCAAATCCAGATTAAAGCCAGAAGATCAGGCGAAGCTGAGGAACAAAACCATCACTAATTAGGAGGCTCAGCCACAAGGCACCCCCTCCCCCTCCCCCACACCATCCCCACAAAGCCCCACCTTGTTTGTTTATACAGCAGAACAAAGCTGGCACCCTTGGGGTTTAGCCAGAGGCCCCACTACAGAGCACTGGGATAGGGCATCACAGTCAACACAGGCTCCCCAGGGCTCCTTGTATCAAAGAACAGAATGGGGACCAAGCTGCTCCTCCAGCTCAGGATGAGTGTCCCTCTGGTTCCCATGGGGGCATCCAGCTGTTCCCCGATCCCATAACCTCACCCTGTGTCTCTTCATTACTTTTCCAATAGAAAAGGAAATCCTGTTTAAAACAAAGTTACCCTTTCAGAAGACGGAAGCAGGAAGGTTGCCTTGAGTTTGGGGCCAGCCAGGGCTAAAGAGCCTGGCTCTGACTCTAAAACAAAAACACAGACAAAACAGAGTCAAATTCATAGTGCTTTGAAAATCTGAACTCCCTTCCCTGCAGTGCCAGCTAAGCTTGTCCCGCTTATCTGGATCCACCACTTCTACTGGATTTCTTTTCCTGACTTGACTCCTCTTGACCCCCCGACCCCGGCCCTGGTTCAGTCGTGGTCACTTGTGCATGGCTGTCATGATAATATGTATAGACTTTCAAGTTTTGTGTTACTCTTCCTTTCATGTGTGCACCTGTAATCCCAATATTTGGGAGGCTAAGGCAGGAGAATTGTTATAATATGGGTTCTGTTCTTTAGAGGGGCTGTGACTAGGAGATGACTCCATTGACAAAGTGTTTGCTGAGAACACGTTGGCTTCTACCACCAAGTGAAAAGCCAGGAGGAGTAGCCGTGGTGGTTACATGGTAGTTCCAGGAGTGGTTCCTGTCATCCCAGAGCTGGGGAGGCAGAGACAGGAGGGTCCCGGGGTTTGATAGCCAGCCAGTCTGGCCAAACCCTAGACTAGACTCCAGGTTCAGTGAGAGACCCTGTCTCAAAACTTTAAGGAGGACTGCCAGGATAGCCTAGCAGGCAAACATGTTTGCTGTCAGGCCTGGTAACGTGGGTTCAGTCCTCGGGATCAAACGGTGGAGAACCAGCTCCCTCAAGTTGTCCTCTGACTTTCACGTGTGCTGTGGCACATGTGTAAATGCACAAGTACGTGCAATAAATAAATACATCAGAAGAATTATAGAAGGCAGAGATTAATGGGAGAAGACACTTGGAATTAAATTCTGGTAGCCACATGCACCAGCACATACAAGTACACACATATTAACAGAGGTGCTAACACACATGCAGATAACTGAAGGTACAAACAGAACAAAACCAACAACAACAAAAACCCAAGCCACACCCAAGTGGCCTTCTGGTGTTCGAGAGTGTCACTGTCAAACTTGCTTTCCGCAATGCTCTCCTAGATGCTGAGGCTACACTCCGTGTTCACACTGAGGGGCTGTTGTGTGTCCAGCTTCCTGCCGGCAGTGATTCTGCTCCTTGACAAATGCCCCTTATTTGAGTGATGGGAAGGCTGGACCGACATGAGCTGTGAGGACCGACATGTCTGTGAGGGCTTTTGCCCAGTACTGCTGTCTCTCCTCCCAAACACCTGCAACCCCTCCCTGAGATGTGAGAATGTCAGGGGTGAGACTGCTCGCCGCTCTCCCTCCAGCCAGGCCGCTCTCTCCTCCCTGAGGCTTTGCGCATAGGTTTAGTGAATTTGACTATGGTTTCTTAAGACAGAACACGGGGCACGGGCATTCCACACAGCAGATTCTCAGTAAGAACCTGTTATGCTGGGCTGGAGAGATGGCTCAGTGGTTAAGAACACTTGCTGCTCTTCCAGAGAACCCAAATTCAGTTCCCAGCCTCCACACCAGGTGGCCTCCAACTGTCTGGAATTCCAACTACAGGGGATCTGACCCCACCAAGGGACACTTACACTCATGTGCCCATGTGCAAACAAAACCACCTAAAAATAATAAAATTAAAAAAAATTAAGAACCTATTGCTTAGGGCCTGAGGAGGTGGTCACATCAGGTAAGGGTACTTGCTATACAGGCGTAAGAATCTGAGTTCGAATCCCCATTACCTATGAAAAAGCTGGGTGTGGTCACACATGCTCCCCTAACTCCAGTGTTGTGGAGGGCAGACACAGAAAAATCTCTGAGATTTGCTGGCCATTAGCCTGGACAGAGAAAGATCTCTGAAATAAGGCAAAAAATGACAGAAGAGGGCAGGCCATCCCTGATCTTTGCCTGCATATAAATGTTTGTATAACACACACATACACACACACACACACACACACACACACACAGAGAGAGAGAGAGAGACATACCCTTAGCTTATTTGACATTTACAAACCATTAAGATGGTATTCAGCTATTGGAACCACCTTGTGCCCATATAAATGTTTGTATAACACATACACACACACACACACACACACACACACACAGAGAGAGAGAGACATACCCTTAGCTTATTTGACATTTACAAACCATTAAGATGGTATTCAGCTATTGGAACCACCCTGTGCCCAGGAACTAGGTGTTCTTACTCTACAGAATGGGGGAGCTGTGCCAGTACAGGCTACACTGTGTTTGTGGGCATTCCTTAGGTGCCTGGTGCCTGATTGGATGGATGTCCTCTGGCTAGGTAATTCCTATCTCTGGGCTGCAGGGCCCTGGGTGTAGGTTGAAGGATGAGACCCACCTGGCCAGGTTGCTATGTGGCCCATGGGTTGAAGTGTGTCATCCAAGTGGAAGGCCTGACTTTCAGTCCACACAGGCAACCTTCCCATTGGGCCCACTAAAACCCACTGAAGTGACGTTACTGTGCCGGCTGTGTGGTACCTGTGAGAGCCGGTGGCAGGCGCTGCTTTTCACTGATCTGGGGAGAGCGTCTCATCCTATGTCAATTTTTCTCTCTGTTCAGGGCAGTACAATGTTAATGAATCGCTGGTGAAGCGCTCACCGAAGATCTTAATGTCCTGCTTCAAATCCAAAACTGGCCGTGGATTAAAACTGACATCAACAGGCCCAGGACCTGGTTACTACAACCCCAACGATCAAACCAAGATTCAGAAAAAGCCTCATATCCCGTGAGTTCTGCATTTTCTTCTGAGGTAGCTCCAGGGGATGCTCAAAGAGGCAAAACCGAGAATGCGCACCAGTTAGGCGGGACTCAGTCTGGGGCCCTGTTCCCGTGTCACAAGCCATTGGAGAGCATCCATTAGGGACATGTGCCCCACAGTAGTAAAACCACCACCCTTACTTTCTGGAGGTAGGAGCTGAGCTTCCAGAAGGCTTGGGGCTTTGCTTGACTCTGCACGCTCACATCTTGTCAACAGGACTCCGGACTGGCAGGGTCTTTCTATGCTCCCCATAAAGCTGGCTTCTCCTCGGGCTACGATTGCTCTGTTTTTATAACATGGGGTTTCCCCCACGCTTGGGAGATACAACAACTGGGGCATACTCATTGTGGTACGCTGATGCAGAGAGCTGGATCTGCTCTTCGGCTCTGCTGTGTGGCCTTGGGCAGCATGTGCTACACTCTGTGAGCTCTCATGCCTTTATCTATAAAGCTAAGCAGGTTTAATTTTTGCCTCATAGGGTTGCTTTCAGACTTAAAAATTTGTCAGGCATACAGTTGGTGCAAATGGTGATTTCATAGTAACACAAATTTAAAAAGAAACAGAGCTGGGTCAGTTAGTTCACACTTGTAATCCTAGTACTTTGGAGGCTGAGGCAGGAGGATTGAGAATTCAAGGCCAGCCTGGGCTATGTAACCAGATCCTGCTTCATCAAAGTGGGGTTGGGAGGTGGAGAGAGACAACCGTGTCACCCCGTTAAATATATACCATTTGAGAGTTTTCATTTCTATTTTATGTGTGTGGGTGTTTTGCCTGTATATGTTTATGCACTATGTGTCTGCAGTGTCCATGGCAGCCAGAAGAGGGCGATAGGTCCTCTGGAACTGCAGCTATAAATGTTTGTGAACTGCCCTGTGGGTGCCGGGAACCTAACCCCAGCCCCCTGCAAGAACAAGTGCTCCTTGCCCCCCAACCTCCCTCCAGCCTCTTTATCTACCATTCCTAATGTTATTTTCATCGAAGAGACTCAAAGGTATTCAGGGCTTAAGAATTTCTTAACTGGCTGTGGAACTTCCAGAACTAATTGTCCATGAGGTTGACCTTGTCACCTTTTGAGCCTTCACTCCTGTGGCAGCCCCCCTTGTAGGTCCAAGAAGGGTGACCACTAGGGTTGGGCTGAGTGTGTGGGCACCTGAGCCCCTCCACAGTGACACGGTAGGGGTCAGGGCCACAGCTTGTCACCCAGGCATCTGGCAGGGGGCTGGAAACATTGGTCACCATCTGGCTGTCAGTCTGGGGCATGGGGGCAGGGATTCAGGAATCTGTCAAGTCAAATAGGAGGTGGAGAAGGGACGCAGGCCTTAGATGGAGGCTACCAGGTAAGTTCCTTCTGTGGTCCCATTGTGGGATTCTGCAGGATCCTTTCCAGGCTCTGGGGCAGGGGATTATCTTCCATGGAGCCTCCCCTGCCTGCCTCTTCGCTGAGTGGCGTTGAGGATTTTCTCCGCTGTGGCTCCTGCAAGGCTGAATGAAGCAGAACTTGGAAACAGTTCTTACTTTTTCCCAGCTGACGCATAAAAGCCGTGCATATTTATGGAGACCATGTGATGTTTTGATGCATTACTTAATGTTCAAACCGGGAGAAGCGTCTGTCTCAGACATCTGTCTGGCTCTTACTCATTACAGTCAGGATTACTCTGTATCCTACCGAAATAGAATACAGCTGCAATTTCACATGGTGGCTCAAACCCACAGCCCAGATCTGGAAGCCTCAACGAGGTGGACCAACCCAGGAGTTTTCTGGAGTCACTTGTAGGGCCATTCCACACCAGAGGCTGGTGCTTGTGCCTCAGGAGACGTGGCTGAGGAACGCGTTGTGGGTGTCTTCTGCCTTCGGCTGCCCAGCTGACTCAAAGTTAGGAGGATTTGTTGGCTTGCAGGTTGTCTTAAGATGTGAAGCGAGCGTTCACCAGGGTTTCAGTTCTCAAGTTTCTCAGTACCGGTCCTGGGTGTGACTCAGCGAGGCAGGGCAGAATGGGGTCCTCCCGATGCCACCTGCTGCCAGGTGGAGGAACACCCAGAGACTCCTTTCTGACCACTTCCTGGAGTCCCTAAGTCATTGGCTTTGCATAGCATGCCGTCCTGTCAAGGGCAGCCCGAGAATCAAGCCCCTTGGCCCAGCTCCAATTCAGTAATTATGCTGGGCCAATTATGCTGGGCCCACCTAAAGTTCCCGGGGATTGTCAGTTCGCTGTGGGATGCATCTTCCCAGGCGGCTCATCTGTCACTGCCCCTGCCCTGAAGAGCAGACAGATACTGCATTCCACCCCAGAGGCAGTCGGTTGCCCTTTAATGTGGAGGGGAATTGTGAGAAATTGCCCCTATATCCCTCCCAAACCTGGGAATCCCTCAGGCAGAGAACCTGTGCCTGGGAGTGTCCCAGGGGTCTTGAGGCCTCCCACAAGTGACCTGCCGAGACCTCGAGGGCATCCATTATCTCGGAGCCACAAAGGGTTTCCTCGGAAGCTGAGGTGTGCTTCATCCCTGCTGTGGCTGCTGGGGGAGCTGGATCCATGTTGTCATTCATTACTAAGCCACCAAACCCAGGCTGGTCACACTACATTGCCGGTCACACACATCCTGAGTGTGACCACTGGACGTCTGTGATTTCCCAGTTGCCTCACACCACCAGAAACCAGCCCTGGGTAAGGGGAAGTTTGATGTCTTGACTCCATCACCTTCCTTGCATGCTGTTCCACCTCCCCCACACAACACAGACTTTGGGACACAGGAAAAGAGATGATAATAGTGGTTACCTTCAGCCCTCCCCCAACCATCCCTCCGTTATTTCTAGGTGGTTCTCTCGTTTCTCACCATCCTCTCCCCCATTTCTCCACAGACCCTGAAAATGTGAAGTTAAGAGGGAGCTCTGATTGTAGCCTTTCAGACACACTTTCCCTCCCAGAAAGACCTAGAACAGCCCTGCTCCCGACCCGGTGCCATTGCCCACACTGTTCCTTCTGCAGGAAGGAACACACACACACACACACACACACACACACACACACACACTCATGCCAACTGTGCGTTCTACTTGCCTCACCCTTCAAGGGTGGTGACCTTGTCTTACTCAGCTTTGAGGTCCCTAGCCCCTTGCTGATCTGCAGAGAAGGGGGAGGGGCACAGAAGGTGGTGGAGCTCAGATACCACAGAAGGGCTGAGGCTGGCTGCTCTCTCTCCCATGTCCACCCCTGTGTGCCCTTCCCTACTCTCCCTACCTCAAGGTTCCCTGCTGACCTCTTCCAGGGCACAGGTTTGGACCCCTAATGAGAATCATTGCTGCCCTCCTGTTTTCATAAGAGGGCGTCACAGGATAGCCCAGGCTGCCTGGGCACTCTGCATATAGTCCATGCTCGCCTCAGATTTGTGCCAATCCTCCTACCTCAGCTCCCCAGGTGCTGGGATTGCAGACATGTGCCTTCATTTGTGCTCAGAACTTTTAAATTATTTTTAAAAGTTATTTATTTATTTATTGTTTATTTAGTTTTGTTTTGTTTTTTCAAGACAGGATTGCTCTGTGTAACAGTCCTGGCTGTCCTGGAACTAGCTCTTGTAGACCAGGCTGGCCTCGAACTCACAGAGATCCACCTGCTTTTGCCTTCCGTGTGCTGGGATTAAAGGTGTGTGCCACTGCCTGGCTGTGCTCAGGATTTAAAACTCCCCTTTTAACAGACTTCCTGTTAGGCACAGGAGCGAAACCTAGTTACTCCTAGCGTATGATCTGGGGTGGTCAGATTTCCTGAAGACACATAGCCAGTGAGCAGGGAAGGGGACATTTAAGCCACAGCTGCACTCTCCACTGTCACCGTTCAGATGGCACTAGCTGTGGACTACCCAGCCCTCAAGATCTGTGTCTTAGTCCGCAGCCTGGACTCCTCAAAGTGCTTGACCAGAGCTGCAGGTAAAACTGGCATTCACTGGAGACCCTAGCATTCTGCTGAGGAGCTGGGGCATCCCTAGTGCTGTGATAGGAGACAGGAAGAGGCTGCTCCAACCAAATGTGCAAGTGTGTGATGTGGCCCAGCCTGCATCTGCCTCCAGCAGCTGCCCCTGCTTGGGCAAGCAGACACCTCATGGTCTTCCCAGGAAAGAATGTGGGACTCTTGGGCTTGGGAGTGACCCAGACCAGTGAATGACTTCATCTGATAGTTGGCTCATTCCAGTTGTGACTTCTAGGAGTCATGTCTATCTCAAAATGTAGCCAGTCAGGGTGTCTTGGGGAGGGAGTTAGAGCCAGAATAGGAACGAGGTAGCATTTATTTATGAGGAGAAAGGTTCCTGACCACACCCTAGAGCCAAGTCCTCCATACGGAGTAGAGGGTTACATTCTACCTTTTTCCTGTGGGTACCTTTGTTCGGATATAAACACCCAGGCCAGCTGTTGCATGGTTCGAGCCTCTAGCAGAGAGAAGCGGCTTTCCAGGGCCTCGCCAGCTGCAGGCCGATCCCCACACGCCAGAGTGGCCCTGGTGTGAGCACTGAATAGGCACTGGCTCTGTGGGAGCCGCTCCACAGACCTTCTCTGCTGTTTTTGGTTTGTTCTCATAGCTCCCCTACAAAATGTAAGGGTTCTCACTCCCTGCTCCAGGGTCTTTGTCTGAGACCCCAGCAGACAGCCAGTGGCGTGACTAGAATTCATACTTGATGTAGGAGTCTCTAAAATGCAGACACCTTTGTCATGGTGTGATGTGGGATGTCCTTCTGTATGTGTGTTGCTTTTATTGGTTGATGAATTGTTTCGGACAATGGCTTAGCAGAGTAAAGTCAAGCGAGAGATCTGAATATATATATATATATATATATATATAAAGAGTAGGTGGAGTCAAGGCAGACCCCATGTAGCTGCCAAAGGAGAAAGACACTGGAACCTTACCGATAGGTCACAGCCTCGTGGAGATACACAGCTTAATAGAAATGGGTAATTTAAGATGCAAGAAGTAGCTATAAATATGCTTGAGCTATTGGCCAAACAGTGTTGTAATTAATGTAGTTTTGTGTGACTATTCGCATCTGGGCGGTCGGGAAAAGAAAGAGCAGTCTCTGCTGACAATAGACCGTCTCCACATTGCTGGTACTAAGAGAACTTAGAACCACAGGTCTGCAATGGTCTCTCTGGACACGGGCTCCTTTAGCAAATAAGGAGGTTGACTAGACATCTCTAGGTGTTCTGGCTCTATGAAGTTAAGAAGGTAAAGGCCCAAGGTCAGCAGGGTCATGGGAGCCAGGACTTCCCCACTGCTTTTAGGCACAGTGTCCATTCCTGAATGTTCTCGGCTCTGAGAACCTCACTCCCCTTTCCATGAAAGGATCCAGAAGAAACTTTAGGTGGGAGGTGGCCCTTTCCCTGCACAGTGGTTTGACTCCCCAGATGGCTGGGACACCCAGTAACTATCCTTACTATGGGCTGAGGGGAAGGGACAGTTCTCAAAAGTCCTCTCATCTAACTCCCCGACTCACACATGGGTAAACTGTGTTCCAGGATTGTGAAGTAGGCTTGGCCCAACTTAAGTGTTTCTTTAGTGACTTAATGGCAAAGATGCCATACAAAATAGACTCCCTTTCTGGAGGGAAAGATGTCTGTCTGAAACAGTTGCAATATAAGCAGTGAGTGTCCTTATAAGTTCTAGATTCCAGCCCAGTGCTTTTCCATCCCTGCCTCCAGCCTTAAGGGCAAGCTAGCAGGGTTCTGGGATGTCAACAGAAATCTGTCAGTTGTGGGACAACAAATACCTGGAAAGCAGAAGAAGGTTTCCTTTTCCCTGGCCATGCAAACATCACAAGTGGCTCATCCAGGCCTCTTTCATCCAGGCTTCAGTTCTTAGAGCTCCAGCCAGACTCTACCAATCGATCACAGTCAGCACATACGATCAGTACAACCTGCTTTTCCCAATGAGCTCAGCAACAGACATCTCTAACAGAAAAGTGTCTGTGCTCTCACTGCCCCAAGGACTTTGTGTTAGATACCAGCACCTCATTTCAACTCTGATAAGCCTGTGAGGTTTGGTTGCCATTGTACAACTGAGGCCTAGAGGCCCTGGACTTACAGGCAACTGGACTAGGATAGATACTGGTCAGGGCGAGCCTCAGGACCCCAGGCATGGCCTGTGCTTTAGACTCTGCCATTTCCCCCATGAGGCTGCTGTGGTGACGTCTTTGCATTTTTGTCTTTTCCAAAGGAAAGGTGCGCTCCTGAACTTTTCTGCCCACCCTCTGCCTCTGCCCCCAAAGCCACCTCTGCCCGGGCCTGGTCAGTATGAGATCGTGGACTACGAGGGACCCCCTAAGCATTTCATCTCCAGTGCATCGTTTGTGTCCAATACCAGCCGGTGGCCAGTGCTGTCATCCAGACCAAGCCTACCTGGCCCAGGTCAGAGAACTGTGAGCCCAAATCTTCCGCAGCAGCTTTTCATTCCGAGGCCATCAAATTCCACCATTTTATGTGCTGTTTGCTAAGCAGGTTACAAGGGTGAGGTGGACTTAGCAGGTTATCAGCTCACAATTTCAGGGCACTAAAATATTTGTTTCTGCATGTAAAGAGGGCTTGCTTTGGATTTGAAACCAAGGCTGGGAGGTCCAAGAGGCCAGAGGCTCTGAGTAGTAGTGACTGCACTGGCTGGAATGTGTACCTTACAAACCTCATCTCCACTTCTCCCCTCCCCTCCACTCTTCTCTTTTCTCCTCCCTCTTCTTACCTTGTGTGTGTATGTGTGAGCATGTGTGTATGTGTATGCATGTGTGTGCATGTGGTGTAGATATGTGTGTGTGTATATATTGTGTGTATGTATATGTATGTGTGTGCATGTGTGTATGTGCATGTATGTGTGTATGTGTGTGTATGTATATGGATGTGTGTCCATGTGCCCACACTCTCATTCCATGCTGTGTGTGGCTGTAAGAGGATAACTGGTGGATCCTGGGGTCTGAACTCAGGCTGGCAGGCCTGGCAGCGAGTGCTTTAAGCCACCGAGTCATCTCAGCACCTCTGTTTGATTTTTGGAGACGCGGTCTCTCCCTGAACCTAAAGCTCACTGATTCTGCTAGGCAGCTGGCCAGTGAACCTCGGGATCTGCCTGTCATCGGGCCACCGGTGTTAGGGTTACAGGTGCATGTCCTCACCCTGGCTTTACCCTTGGTCTCCGGGGAGCTAAAGTCAGGTCCTCATGCTTGTGTGACTGGCACTTTACTGCCCATTGTTCCAGCCCCAGAGATTGTTCTAGAAGGAAAGAGCCATAGCATTTGTAAGAGTCTCATAAAAATTCTTATTCGTAAAGATATTTAAACCTCTAGTCTAGATTTGCCAAGGAATCTTAAGCCTCTAGTCTAGACTGGCTAAGGTCTGAAGGGCAAGCTGCTTACTGCTAGGGGCATTTGCGATAGGGCCCAGTCTCCAGGTGGGGCGCCTTGTTTGTAATGGATACCAGAGGGAGTGGTTCTCTGTAGCCACTTAGCTCCTCCCTCCTGACCCAGACCAAGGAATTGCTCTTTGCATCTAGATCTCCCTGCGAGTTAGCATCCTGAGGCCCCCCCTCCACCATGCTGGTGCTCCCTCCACAGTGATGGGTGGTCTCTGTGCTTCCCCACGCCTCTGCAGCTCTCTAAGGCTCCCTGGCCTATCTCTGACAATGGCAGGAGCTGGTGGCCTGTGCCGTACGCACAGGGACTGGAAAGCAGAACTGACAGGTAGCCACCTTGTCTTTCATGCTCAGTCATTAAACAAGCACTGTTGACACTCCCATTCTGGGTAGCCCTGAGGTGACTGAGGGCCGCCAGAGGCATCAGTCTGGCAGGAGAGAGCCTCTCCTTGCTCTTTCACCCATGGGCAAGGAAGTGGTAGGGGACCCTGGGGAGGGAGGCCTGGCTCCCAGCTTTGGTTTTTCAGATGGACGACAATCAGGTCAGTGAGCCTGTGGTCTTATTCTGGAGGGCACCTGACCAGCGCTGGAGAACAGTGTCTATCACTGCTTGAGCTTTGGAGGCCTGGGGACAGAGGGGCTCCAGTCTGGCTGTTTGGTTGAGTCCTCTGGGAATGGCGTCTTGAGTATGATGTACACGGGGGTTTCTGAAGCATGGGCCCCAGGGTAGTGCTCCAACAGGCCATTCCTATTGCTGTGGTCCCCTCCATCAAGATGATCCTGCGGGTATGCTGGGAGGACGCACATGCACACATCCGTCTTGGTGCCTCCAGCAGGCAGAAGTTTTCCTGAACCCATGGGCTCCTCTCCATAGTTTCCTGAGAGGACATGGGAGGGATGCCGGGACTGTGGCTCCCAAGTCTTGTTTGCTAGAGAAATATGTCTTGCGATGGCCGTGACTTTCAGTTTCCTGGCAATTTTCCCTCTCTTCTTTAAGAATACTCTTTTTACTTGAAATGGTCATTTCATAGTTTCTAGAAAGCGGTATTGTAAAGTTGGTTCTGTTATAGAAGCTATAAAGAGTCAAAGACGGTCAGAGGGCAGCCTCGGCCAGTAGAGCCATACAACAGGGCTGGGAAGGCGGCCCCGTGGGTCAGGTGCTTGTTGGGCAAGCATGAGGGCCAGGCTGGGATCCCCAGCACCCATGCAAAAGCTAGAACTGCTAGTGTAGCCTATGACCCAGGACGGAGACGGGGGAGCCGAAGGTTTGGTGGGAGACCTTAACTCGAAATAAAAGTGGAGCTGGGTGGTGGTGGCACATCCTATAAACCTAGCACTCGGGAGGCAGAGGCTGGTGGCTCTCTGTGAGTTCAAGTCCAGCCTGGTCTACAAGAGCTAGTTCCAGGGCAGGCTCCAAAGCTACACAGAGAAACCCTGTTTTGAAAAACAAAAAAACAAAAAACAAAAAAACAAACAAAAAAAAAACAAAAAAGGGGGGGGGAGTGGGTGACCTCTGCCTCTACCCTTAAAAAAAAAAGAGCCATGTACCATGAGGTCAGTTGCAGATGCTTCCTCTCCTTGTAGGAAGAGGGGTGTGTAGGCTGAGGGGCAGGAGCAGAGCTCCCTCACCCTTCCCAGCTCTGAGACTAGGCCTGGGCCCTGCAGCCACGCCTCTCTATTTTGATGTCTTTTCTTTCTTTCTCTTCAGCCACATACAAGCCAGAGATCCCAGGGAAGCAATCCTTCCTCTACAATGAGGACAACAAATGGATCCCAGCGATATAGCGATGCCACAGCAGCTCAGGGAGAGGCTCATGCAGCCGGGCCCCGGATCCTGCTCCCCAGGACACCCATCAGCAGAACACACCTTTCCTCCATCACCCAGCCCAGGGTCACATACTGTCTGGAGCTGCCTTCTGGAGACTGGCCACCCCAGCCCCTCCCATGCTTTCCTGAGCAGAAAGGAAGTGAGGCAGAGCTCTATGACTACCTCCACGTCAGCCTCCAAGCTGGTTTGGGGGACTCCCCTCCCCAGAGTTAAGGGATCTTGAAGCACGGACGCTGATATGGAGCCTTGGCCTGCTGCCAAGACAGCCTGTGGTGAAGTCCTTGCTTAGAAACCAATCAACCAGGGCTCTGAGGCCTGGTCCGTGAGCCCTGACCTCCAGCTGTCTTTGACTTCAGGGAGGCAGGAGGCTCAGAGGGGCCTGCGATTGGAGCACAAGGATGTTCCCTGGGAACCCCTGCCCTCTGCTGTGTCTTGTTATTGCACAACAAGAACATGGAATCCAGTCATGAGTCATCACTCATGAACTCGCAGATTCTTTACTTCATCAGCAGATGAGACAGGATCGAGCTGGAGCTAGAGGCCTGGAACCATGGTCCCCAGGGAAGGGAGGACCTCTGCGTCCCTTGTCTTCAACCTTGCCTCTGCCTGGCCTGGTCTCTGTCGCCTTCACGACTTCCCACTTCTGAGAAAGTTTTCTGAGAAAGCATCAATTTCTGAGTTGGACGGTGTCTCTCACAGATCATGGCTTGCCTGCAATGGCTAGAGGGAGAGCTGACCAAGAACCAAGATGAAATGAAACTGGTCATACATCTTCTCCTTTCCCTGGGTGTCGCTAATGTCTGCCACTTTTCTAGATGGGGTCCTCTTGGGTTCCCTTCCCTCCTCCAGCCCCGATCCCCTTCCATGATGCCTGGACTTGTCGCTTCCCAAGGCCCCTTCCTTGAAGTTCTCTGGAAACTGTACATCCTGGGCCTCCCATATGGACTGGCTTCTTGATTGGGTTTTCTCCTGAGGGAGGGGCGGGGCGTGAGGATGAGGGAGGGAAGGGATGAAGAAACATTTTCAATTAAATGAAATTCTTGCTTCTCACAGAAGCTGAGCTCTTTGTGGGGCTTGGGAGCGATGAGGTAGCCTGGTTATACCCAGAAAACAGGAGGCTTCTGGTCATACTGATCCTGGGGACTGGCTGGGCTGGAGTCCCCAGGTCCTGGGTCATTGAGCAGAGGCTGGCAATGTACCGGGAAGTTACATCAGGCCTCTTCAATCACCATGGCGCTTCAGCTTGTGATGCTTGTCTCTCGGAGTAGACCCGGAAGCAGGCCTCTCCAAGGTGGTGAGGAGGCGGTGCCAGAAAGGGCAGGTGAGAAGGGATGTTATTACTTTGGGACACTTTAAGAACTAACCACGCCCACCCCAGCCACTTTAGACCTCCCCTGCAGCCATCTTCTCTCTGGTGTGTGTGTGTGTGTGTGTGTGTGCGCGTGTGCGTGTGTGTGTGTGTCTTTGTTCTCTCTGTGTTTGTTTATGTTTTCCTTTCTTTAATAAATGTCTAGCTTTATGTATAGCCTTATGTCCATTTACTCTGCCGTCCGCTGCATCCAGCCGCCTGACTCTGCCGCTCGCCTGGGGACCCTGCACTGCTTTGGCGGTGGCAGCCTCTGTCTGGCTCGCATGCCGCCCGGGACATCCCATCATGGTATTATTTTTAAAAAAGAACAATATTGGTGCCGGGACTGGAAAGATTCACCCGCCAAGGGCCAGGGTTCCAGTTTTACCTTTCGTCCGGGACTCTGACCACCAACTTCTGGGATTGAATCGGACCGAGGGCCTTCCTCAACACCGCCAACTGCCTGGACTCCTTCCTACAAACAACACCGGCTTCTAATTGTAAATTTCCTCACTCCAGCCAGCTTATCTGAGCCTTTTTAACCCGGGATTGACTGGTCCTCCTGGTGTTTCTGGGCTCAGGGAGGGGTACTTCTCTGCCCCGTCGCTGGCGTCCATTATGGCTTGGATCCTCTTAAGCCCGTGCATTCCCTCATCTGGAGGCCCGGGGCTTCCAGTCTCTTCCTCTTTATTTCTGTCTTTTCTTCCTTCCTACCTTTCTCGCGGACGTAATTGGCTGATCCGGTTCGGCCTTTAGCATCCCACATGGGCACTCGGACGCCTGGGCACATGGTTTTGGATGTTCGCTTGCATCTCACCTAAATGGGGAGCCATTCCCAATAGGCTCGAGATGCCACGGTTTTTGAGGGATTTTCACGGTCTTAACCTGGAAAAGCAAGTCGTACCAGCCTATGCGGGTTTTTCACGATTCAACAACCAGGCGGCCCCCGGCTTTTAAAATTCCCGCAGCTTTCCATTCAAGCCACAACACGTGACCGCCACCATGTTCATTGGGGTCAGATGACTTTATCAATAGATTCACTGAGAGCCAGATCACGCGACCAAGCTTTCTCATTCTTATGTATGTCCTGCCTTTCCTCTCCCCCTCTTCGGTGTTCTCATTAACTCTGATTACAGGTGTTTTGCATAGTGACGTGCTTTCTGATAGGACCCATCAGAAACATACACTTTGCCTAATTCCTGTTTTCTATGTATAATGATTGTTCATTTCATCTCTTTTCAGACTACAAAATCATAAACTGGTATGTACTTTTAAGCTGTTTTCTACCATTGTCAGTTCTGCCACTAATCTTAATGTTACAAACAGTTTTTTTTCTTTCTGTCTGTCTTTTTACAAATGTGGATCTTACCTATTAAGAGTCAATACAGTCAAACTCAAACCCAATCTTCCAGACAGATTCTATACTGCAGCTATACCTAATAATCAGCCCTCAACTGCTCAGAGATCTGGGAAATGAGATATTTAAATGTTTAATTATTTAAAAAACTTTTCATAACAAAAAGAGACAGGTTGGCTCCTAGCAAGCACTCTGTTTCCTCCGAGAAGACAGAAGACCAACATTCATCTGCAGTTTGCTTCGACTGCCAAGTGCTGACCATTGGGCAAAAACTGCCTATCACCTAAACTGGAGACCTCCAAACGTGGACAGGATCCAGAATCGACAGTCTAGCTGCCCAGGGTCAAGGTAGGCCTGTCTTCCTAAAGATTTCCTAGTCCACAGGGTCTTTAAAAGCCTGACTGGCTCTGCGCTAAACAACAAAGGTCAAATGCAACCTTCAGCGACCAGGGAGGACCAAAGAGTAGCTCTAGATGCCAACCAAGTAAGTTCTCTGTCATTTTTTAATCAGTAACTCAAGTAAAATCTTATCCTTCTCAAAGATCTCTGACAGTCTGATAGCTAAGAGGTTTTGCCAGCTTGTCTCACCAAATAAAAATATTTTTCATTATAATTTCTTTTTTTATAAACCCAAGGAGTTCTTAATACAATATATATATGTCTAAAACTTCTGTTTTTCTTATAAGTTCCAGGGAGCCAAATTAAAAAACCCACCGTAAACAGGTCAGATACAAACCTCTCAATTCCCTGGTCCTAAATTTTTTTTCTCAATTTAACTTTGTCCTCTGTTCTGCCAACACCCTAACCAGGTACAAGGGACATTTCCATGCCACAGACACCTGTCCTGTCAGAAGCAGAGACCAACTCCAACACCCAGCTTCTCTCGGATCTCCCTCACCCCCCCAAAGACGACGCCCACAAATCAGCCGGAAGCAGTCTTGAGAATTCGCCGCCCCAATTCCTTCAACCTGTAATGTCTAACCTTCTACTTTTTATTATAAAAAGGATCTGGGAATGTTATTACTTTGAGACACTTTAAGAACTAACCACGCCCACCCCAGCCACTTTGGACCTCCCCCGCAGCCATCTTTTCTCTGGTGTGTGTGTGTGTGTGTGTGTGTGTGTGTGTGTGTATGTGTGCGTGTGTGTGTGTCTTTGTTCTCTCTATGTTTGTTTATGTTTTCCTTTCTTTAAGTAATAAATGTCTAGCTTTATGTATAGCCTTATGTCCATTTACTCTGCCGTCCACTGCATCCAGCCGCCTGACTCTGCCGCTCGCCCGGGGACCCTGCACTGCTTTGGCAGCAGCAGCCTCTGTCTGGCTCGCATGCCGCCTGGGACATCCCATCATGGTATTATTTTTTAAAAAGAACAGTAAGGGAGGGGCTCACCATACCTTCCAGAAGTCACTGTTGGCACTGGACCTGTGCTGAGGCCCTGAGCTCTGATGGTCTGCATACTGGCCCTCCGACACTCTGAAGATGTCCCAGGCTGCTCCCAGTTCTGTCTCAGCCCCGAGGTGGATGTTAGTCTACCTGGAAGCAGACACAGGTCCCATACCAGGGTCACCCCAGCTTGAATCTCAAAAGCTCTGATTCAATTGAATTGGTGCCTGGAATCAGTTCCCTTTCTCGTTGCTTGAGCAGAGTATCTGACAGAAGGAAGAGAATCTCAGCTCGGTGTGAGCACGTAGTCCATCATGGTGGGGACAGGGTGGTGGTCAGGACAGCTCAGGATGGCGTAGCAGGAGTGAGCATGAGATGTCTGGTCACTCTATTCACAGAGAGAGAGAGGCCAAAGCTGGCACTCGGAGGCTTGTTGCCTGCACTTTTCTGTGAATACCCAGACCTCGGAACAGGCGCGCGCTTTCCCGAACCAAGCCCACGAGAATGGATTAATATCCTAAGGGTTGAAGCACACAGACATAAAGAGACCTGCTCATTCACCAAAGAGTAAATGGCAACTTTATTAAACTCAAGTCGGGTATATATACTAGAGGGCAAGGGGGCAAAAGGGCAAAGCCCCCTCCCATCAGGAGCAGAGGAAGAGGATGACAGGTGCCCAGCGCCCAAGGCCAGAAGCAGCTGCAGGAGACAGGCGTGGCAGGCGTATAGGGACCACGGCTGGAAACTTGTTTACAGGTGGAATTACCATAACAAAAGAGGGCCAAGTTCTTTCTAAGCTAAACCCTCAGGCCGGTGCAAGTGCAGAAAAGCCAGGGAGCCAGAGGTCAAACGGTCCTGCAAATCGCCACGAACAAAAGGGGGAAAGACCTGTGTACCTACAGTGGCTGACTTTCTCCTTTCTCCTGTCTTTCTCAGGCTGGTCCCCCGGTCCATGGGATGGTGCCACCCACATTCAGGCTGAGTCTTTATTTTTCCATTAATCCTTCAGGGGCATGCCCAGACTCAAATCCAGACATTGTTATTAAAGTCCCTTTTTTAATAATTTACTTCTGATTTTTTGATACAAGGCCTTCCTCTGTAGTTCATTGTCTTTGAACTTCTTGCCTTCTCCTGGGCACTGGGATAACAGCCATGCAGTAGCATGCTGATTTATAAAGTCCTGGGTGTGACTGGGATGGAGCTAGTGGGACCGAGGATGCACTGCTGTTTTACCAAAGTGCTTCCCAAATCATAACACACACACAAATCACTTAGGTATTTTGTTAGACTACAGACTCAGTGGGTCTGGCTGGTCTGAGGGCCAGCATTGAGACATGTTCCGGACGGTGTCAATGCTGCGTGTCTGAGAGCCGTGCTTACAGTAGCCAGGTCTGACACACACTCACTGGGTTGTCATCTTGCTTCTTCCACTGGTTCATCCATCTTTTTGTTGATTTTTCCTCCTTCCTCTCATTCCTTCCTCTCCTCACTCCTCTTGGGCTGGGTGACTTTATGTCAACTGGATACAAGCTAGTGTCGACTGAGAGACGGGAACCTCGATTGAGAAAATGCTTCCATAAAACCAGGCTGAAGGCAAGTGATTGACGTGGGAGGGCTCATTTCATTGTGGGAGGGGCTTCCCATGGGCTGGTGGTCCTGGGTCCTCTAAGAAAGCAGGGTGAGCAAGGTACGGAGAGCAAGCCAGTAAGCAGCACTCCTCCATGGTCTCTGCATCAGCTCCTGCCTCCAGGTTCCTGCCATCTTTAAGTTCCTGTCCTGATTTCCTTCAGTGATGAATGTTGATGTGGCAGTGTAAGCTGAATAAACCCTTCCCTCCCCAAGTTGCTTTGGTCATGGTGTTTCATTGGGGCAATAGTAACCCTGACTAGGACACCTTCCTCTCTCATTCTTCCCCTTTAACCTCAGCTCTTGCTGTAAATCCACCGGGCGGCAGTTACCTGC